GCTATCAGCTTTTTATACAAATACGCTGTGTACAGAAGTGAAGATTGCATATTTTCTTTATACAGACACAATGGGGCCATATATGCAGCGGTGATCAGGATTTAGGTCTAGAGTGTGGTTGCTTGGATGAACTGTATGTGGGTCTGGAATATCCAATGCAACATGACGACTTAATTTTCTTGTTCTGGCATTCCTTAACTTCAGTTTTGTGTTTTGTTTTTTTGATTTTCAATAAATCTCTACAGATGTCACTCCCTTAATTTTGTTTTTACTACCGTGTGAGAGCTTAGGCGAACATCTATCAGGTTAGGGGCAAATTCACAGCAACAACCAAGTATGATTAGGGTGAGAAAACATTTAAATCGAACAAGAGAGCCTACGGTGAGATAAAAAGCAGCTCCTCTAAATACAGGGAAGTGTAAGATAATAGGACAAGAGCTGGGGGGTAGGTGGTGGTATTGGTGCTAGTATATACAGTATAATCCTGGTTTTGGCCAAGTTTGGCCTCTGAATCATTGTTTATGCCATGGTTATGTTAGGTAGTGCACGCAGACAACATAAGAATATAAAAATGGGAACATAACTCGAACCTTAGAGCAAGTCCCAACATATAGAAAAATGAGAGAACACAAAAAAAAAAAAATGGAATCAGGTAAGTCAGGTGACCCCCATCCCAGATGCACTGCTGGGTGCGGAAACAAACTAGACACATTTATTGGGTCCCAGGTTGTGGTCTTGGAAGGAGAGGGCATGGAAGCCTGAATAGTGTTTTCCCCCTGGTGGCAGTCAGGAAGGCAGCCTTGTCTTGCTAATTTTGGAATTGGATGAGAAGTTCACTCTTGGCTGTACTGGTAGACCGCTGTGGTTTAGATAGGCAGAACATGCCATCCAGCAGAATGCCTTTGGCCTGCTTCAGTGCTAGCAAGGTTGCAAACAACATGCAGAGAAAATGTGGTAGCTCTGCAGAGGTCACCTCGTCCAAGAGGCCTCTAATCTTCACGTGTTTCCAGCGCGGCTTCCAGCTAATAGACGTGTTAAGGTAACTTGAGCTGAAGTAAAGTTACTGACCTGTTTCTGGAGTTCTATGACTAGAGTGGTGTGGGTACTGGAGGTCTGTTCTACAGTTGTGAGGCATGTGGTGAACCCCCTTACATCTATCCTTACCAGAGATTTCTGCAGAGAGCGTCTGGCGAAGATCAGACAGGAGGCTGGTAAATATCTTCATGGTGACAGGGGGAGATAGGCCTGTGGTTGCTTGTGAGGGTTTGAGTGGCCCATTATACAAATGTTTTAATAAACTTCTCAGACTAACACGTACTGTCAACCTCTTCTCCCCCCACACCCTCCCCCCCTAAAAAATATATATATATTTATATATCATAAAATAATATGAAAAGAACCAAAAAAAAATTAAAGGAAAAATGTACCTGTAATCCTGCGTTGTGACAAAGTTCTCCCGGTAGTCCAATTCTCCTCCAGTCACATCACTCCCTCTCGACTGCATGGCTGAGGGGAGTATTTTGGTGGCACAGAAGGTGGGTCCGGGTCGCCATTGGTCATTTGTCGCAACATGTCCAATATGCATAGAATTGACATTAACGCCCAGAGCTGCTGTTTCAGGTTAGCTAGAGACACTATCGGAGGTACACCTCTGGAAGCAAAACGCTTTAACTCTATATGTGAAGCAATTCATAGAAAAAGACTGCACAGACGACAAGCACCATGAGCACTTAAAATAACTGAAGCGGTTATGGTGCTTAGAGTATCCATTTAACCACAAGGTTCTGCTTAGAATCCCAGCAAGCAGTACTGAGCTATAGACACATTACACATGCTTATGCATGGTCTGATTAATCAGGAGCAGATTTTTGTGATGCTTTGTTAAATTGCTGTGAAGTAGGGTTTGTGTTGGTTTATTTATGAAGTGGATTGTTAAAGCTACAAGATGCTAAATAAAGGATTGTTTCATTAATAGGACCAAGGAGAGTTTTTTATGCTGGGCTCAAGGAAAATATTAAAGTTTGCATTTTTCACATGGATGAATGGACTATCCCAGGAAGAGCTATATAATGCAGCACAACCAACATTACTACCGTAATCCAGTTCTCTACATTTTTGTTGTTTTGTTTTTTTAATGCAAAATTGGCATTACACGGGAAGGAGGAAACTATAATGTTATATTGAAATTATCAGGATCCTGATTTTGTATAATACCCAGGGCTTTAGTCCTGCAGGAATGCGTGTAAACTGTGTTCCTGCACTTTTTCCACAGCAGGGACGCTGTTCCCGTTAGTAGTCCTGAAGGACCTGCCCTTTGGCTAATATATTCCATGCCTCCCTATCCTGGACAGACATGTTCCCCAGAGAATCTCTTCCCCTCGGACACAACCATCTTACAGAATCTCTTCTCTCCACAAAGTAACTACATCTCCCGGGGACTGGGACTTGTGTATGACTACTGCGGGGGACCCACATCTAACCGGGGGCCCTTTGACTCCATCAGTGTGAGCACTTCTCTCTGTCACAGCCTGTTTTTTTTTTTTTTCTCTACCAGAGTCCAAGCCTCTATCTGAATGACACTAGAGCTCAGAGTGTTTCTCAAGGTCGCTTGGTTATGCCCGTAATAAACATGGCTGCTCGAGTCACGCTAATCCATGCACCACATCACCAGACCTGAAAATAGACTTTTTATTTCCAACTTCTAAAATGGCTGCGTTCAACCGGTGACGCTACGACGCCCTGACACACGGTATGCAGCAGACTATTGATTTGGAAATTAAGCCGCAGCAACAAGGACGTAGGCGAGCTAGTCGGGGTTCATAGGGACATATAGAGGGTGGCTGGAGTGAAGTGGGAACCCCCAAGAAGGACAGGGTTAGATGGTGCCACTTTGTCACTGGATAGGAAACAAAATAGGTGACAAACATGTACCAGGAGTTTACAGAATAAGGGACAATGTGGGCACAGCTTCAGGTGGGCACAGCTGGCTGTAGAGGTGAGCACAGAGTGAAAGGAATAGTGTGGGTGCACCTGGAGGTGGGCACAGAATTAAAGGGACAGTGTTGGTACAGCTGGCTGTATAGAGGTGGGCACAGCGTGAATGGGACACTGGGTAGAGCTGATTTTTTCTAATCCTTAAAAGTGGATGGAAATAAATCTATAAAGAATAATATAAGGAAAGGATAATTCCGGGAGCAAAATGCACCATGAGACTGGAAATGAGTAATCCAGAAATGAGTAAGAAGTCAAAAGAAAATTTTGAAGGGATGACTTTTTGACAAGGATTGGTGGTCCATTGGGATGTCTGCAAAAGAGTTGTGAAAATATTTGAGATACACAGGATCAGAGAGGAGTGAAGGTGTCTCACGTTCAGGAACTCTTATATTAAGAAATAAAAGTCCTGCTGAGGAGCCCAGACATTGAGGAGAAGTAATTTATTAGGTTACCATAAAGTGCTGCATGTCAATTTATTGTCCTGTATTTCTCCTCCCAATGACTTACTTAGATTCATAGCGGAGGCTAAGTGTCAACCTTGACAGCCGTCACCAATGACTGGTGCAGGTAATTGGTTCTGTCTATGGAGACCCTTCCATGTGCAAGAGTGCAGCAGTGATGTTGGCTTCTGGCGCAAAGAGGAGTAGACCGAGAAAGATGGGCGTGCTAGCGAGGGGCAGGTTCAGGCAGGGTTCGAGTCCTGCAGGAACGTGTGGGAACTGCTTTCCTGAACTTTTTCTGCAGCAGGAATGCCGTTCCAGTTAGTAGTCCTGCAGGACCTGCCCTTTGCGGGAAATACATAAAAGAGGTATGTTGTGGGCTTTTCGTATTATGTTACTGGTATGGTTTCTTAAACCTGGGTTTCCTGCTGGAAATAGAGAGGCCTTTGTGCTTTCTGTGCTAGCTACGTGCCTGCGAGGGGAAGATCATCACACATTGTGGGGATTATTCGATTATGACAAACAAGTTAACTTATTTTTTTGTTACAACTATTCTATATTTATTTGTTTATTGCATAGCTAATTTAGTTTGTTACAACTGTTCTATGTGCCAAAGGTTGCTTACTCCTGGTTTAGGGCAGAGATGAATGAAGAGGCTGTTGGCGATGGGTTTGTAAGTGTCCCATCCTGCTCTAATTACTATTGTATATTTGAGAACCACACTTGCTAAACCCTTAAGGATCAATGGCCATACATATCTTCATCACAATTTGGTACATAGGGACATCTCCAGCATGGAATATTCGTTAGCGGCTCCATATGGATGATAAACTAGCTTCAGCCTGAAAATGCCATACTATGGACAAGACCATTATAACCATCACTGATTCTTTAACAGGTAGACAGTCAATGGTACAAGAGTCCACACAATCCTCAACCATAAAATAAAGGGGCTTGTAGTCCAAGAACAGACTGGGTTTGAGCTTCAATCAGTTAACTAATAACTACAGTTCTGTTCAAAGCCAAGACCCAATTCATATTCTTTCTTGGCATTTGCATTTTTTAAAATGTATTTTCTACGAGCTTTGCAGCGGACTGAGTTCGCTAAATACACAACCATAATGGAATGAGACATGCACATATCCCCAAAGTCTGTAAAATACAATTTAAAATAAATAAATGAAAACAATTATTACAGTTTAAGCTAAAGGAATAGGTCTTTGACTGTAGAAATGAACAAATTACTCACATCCCTCCCAACGGGATACCCTGTGCATTAGTAGGACAAACAGTCTTCAATTAAATGTGTGCAAATGGGGTGTTAAGTACAATTTAGCTGGATTTATCCTCGTCATAACACAGAGGTACGTTTTTCTCATGTCTAAGGGGAGTATTTAACAGCCCCATGGGTCACATCTCCCGCAAGCCGATGTGACAGGGACATGTAGTGCCTCTCCACTCTACAGATTAATCACCTTATCTACCTTAAAAGCATGGAGTCTCCTCCCCCTGATCCTTATTCACTATATATAAGTGGGTCTATGTGATCACATTTCACATTCAGCCATGCAGCTCCCTGTCCTTTTGCTCATCTCTGTCCTTGCATGTGTTACATGTGCAAAGTCTCACCAAGCAGAGGGTGAACCACCAGAAAACTACCAAGAGGTGCCTCCAGGTTACCTGGATTCACAGGTAAGTTCAAGACAGGAAAAATTAAGCCAGGGTGCAGGTTATAAAAAATAAATAACTGATTTAGTGGGGATGGCAAGGGTTTTGTTTGGTGAAATATTAAATCTAACAGAAAAAAAATGTATATGTGTATTTTTGTTTAATTTTACTGTGCTTTGCCTCTTCTATTGTGACAGCACAGATGCACAAATAATGCAAAATACAAAATATTATTGACCTACGTAAGCACACCAATTATTCACTAAACACCAAATTGTAGTGAATTGAAATACTACAATATTAAGGCTAAAATAGCCAAGCCTTGACAATAAAGAAAAATAATGTTTTTGTTTTTAATTTTCAAATCTATTTTTTTTCCCTATACTTTGCAATTTGGCTTTCAGTTTACCACAAGTTTGGATTTGTGTGGTTATGTAGATACATTTCTGTGTGTATTTGGAAAGCTTAGAATTTGAGAAGCGTTTCATTTGTTATAACAATACTAAAAAGTTCATCATTGATAAAATAAAATTGTGTGAGACATATTCACAGTTTATGTAAGAGTATGTAAGAATGTACCTAGGTGGGTCCTACCAACGTTAAGGTGTGTAAAAGTGATCAGGTATGACTTCAGATTCTGGTGAGGTTTGTGATTAGAAGTGTGCGTTTTCAGCCAAGGACCACTGATTATCTCTGATGAAAAGTATATACTAAAGCCATTAAGAGGGCACGATTCACAAAACTGCGATTTGCTAAATTTTGCACAGTGGTTGACGCCTCAAAGTAAGCTACTGTTTAGTAGATAGACACAGTATATAGATAACAAGACAACATTCACTTGGACAGGATTCTACAATTATAGTTACACAACAGATATAAATCACACCTACATCGATTACAATTCAACTTCCTGAACATGTATCAGAGAGAGAATCCAATGAGGCCATGTGGGGCAGCTGAGCCTATCTACATAGAGATCCATAGAAAGCATACCTTCTACATAACTAAGGCTTTTGATGAAGTCTTGCAGTATATAAAACATTTTCTCTGAGCTTACCTTGGGGGAAAAAGGAGAGAAATGGCTGCGTTAGTCAGTCTCTCTTTGTTATAAACAGTGCTGGATTAATTATTGTCAAGTTCCCTTATCCTCTGTTGTGCACCTTCCAAATCATGGAGCAAGCAACAGAGTAATAATGTACATCCCTCACTTAAATAATACAGTTATGCTCTAGGAAAATAAAAAAATGATATCCACCAATTCTAAAAAAAAAAATTAAACTCTGTGCATTGGTAGTCAAGCCGGAGGCAACTAGTATATAGTTGCCCATTTAATCTATTTGGCAAATCCAGTTCTTGTTCTAGAGTTTCTCATCAATGCAAACAAAAAAAACAAAAAAGTACTTTAGGAAGTTTATAAATAAAGTTACACGAAACAGTATACAATAAGAATATGTGTATATTTTCTTACTGGCAAGATCTCAGAATAAGAAACCCTAGATTTATAAATACAGCAAAACATGGTGAACAAGCCACAAGCGAAATCTAGGTAATAACAGTCAAACGGAAATACAGACTCTGCATATTTGGCATACATTTTAAAAAATGGTAGTTCAATATTTAACAAGTCCATTACAGATTCGAACACAAAATATAAAACCTAGTTGCAGAAAATTGTCATTTTACAAATTCTAAAAATGTTTTATAAATGTGTACTCCATCCAGTGGTTCCCACCCCAGCATGTAAGGGCCAGATGTCAGTATACCTGCAGGAACAGAGCTAGAAAATGCCTAAAATCGGCACTGTTGGTTTGCCTTCAGGACTTGGCTGATGACCTCTGATCTATGCTGCACATACAGCAAGTGACCCTTCAATTCCATAACTAAACAGATAGTATCATGGCAGAAGTATATAGAATACATAATACAATGGGTACATTGGACTCGAGTGATAGGGATGCCAAGTATAGTAAGTGAAGGTACACATGTTGGGAGGTTACCTAGAATGATTACCTGGATTACAGTAAACCAGTGAACCAAGCTGCCTTGACTTGATCCTGGGTTAGTTTTCTGCTTAGTATCTTGTTACAATATTGAGGCATGACTGGGGAAACAGTTTGGGGAAAGCTCTGTGGTCTGAAAAGGGTGGGTATCACGAAAAGCAAACAGGATTGAGATCTTGACTCCCCTCAAATGTAGTTGAGGCCTAGTCGGCCTATATGTAATAATACAGTGCAAAGCAAAAATAAATAAAAACATAAAATCTCTGCTCCAGCATCGGTCCTCTCTGTACAGAGCAAGACCTCCAGCCAGTTGTCTACCTCAAACACTGTAAATATACAATACATTACCTCCTTCCTCCTACACTGTGTATGAGCCTGCAATGTGTGCGAGAGTCCTGGAGAATATAGACCTTAAAAGAGGTTTGTGAATTTTTATGCCTTTTATACCCAATTTACCAAACTTGTAATATTTTGCGTTGCATTTTATATATATTTGTATTGTGCAAAAGCCAGCACACTCCCTCACTGTTAACTAGCTTCAATATCCACAGAGTTATTTAAAAAAAATTCACCCTTATAATGTGCATATTTAGGCAAGTGCAGACCTTGTGCAAGAATCTGTATATAGATTTGCCATATTCACCTTGTTTTCTGGGACACACATCATTTCATCATGTTGATTGGCAGCACGTGAAAATACTGCAGGGTTCCGGATTGATTTATCACCTGATTTACTACCTGCAACATGTGACTTCTACACTTCTACATACCTTCTGTATGTTGCCTATCAATTTATATAAGTGATGTGTATCCCAGAAAATATGGTGTGTGTATATACATATACACACACACATACGACTTCCTACCTGTTAGCTATTGTATGTGGGTACAGCTCGTCAGCTCCCTTTTTGACTTTTTCCTAGCATTCAGTGTTCGATAACACAGCATACATTGGGAAAATCTATGGGAGATGAAGCTAAAATCTTTCATAACTACATAGAGAGAGAGAAAAAAAGAAACGATAACTGAACTGCAAGTCACAGAAAACACTATTCTAAGCAACCCTTTGGTGTGCAGTCAGCCCCTCCTGCACTGTTTGAAGATTAACAGGCAGTATGACAGTTTTATGGCAGGTTATATCCTGTGTATGCTAGTAACAGTCACATATTAAGTCTCTATATACAACATTGAACAGCTAGTGTCTGTCTGATCTACACTGTTACACTTACAGTACTGGGTATCAGCTACATGGACCAAAATGAGAGGCTCCTTATTTTTGGCCTAGCGTGCCCCTTTAACATGCATGTCCTGCTTCATTTCATATGACTGTTACTGCTTGTGTCAATTACACATATAATGCATACAGAAACTATTCAGACCTCTTCATTTTTTTTCCAAACTTTTTATGCTGCCGTCTTATGTTATTGTTAAAATATATATATATCACATCTTCACTCAATACCACATAAAGAGATTTAAAAAACAGATTAAAAAAAAAGGTTAAAAAAAACCAAACAAACATGAAAACAAAATAAATGGACAAAGGAAGCTTTCATATTAACCTAACAGGTTTTGGTTAGATGGTGTATCTTTGCTAAAAACAATTGAATTTTTTCAATGAGAAGAGGCCAAGCTGTCGGCTATATTAAAGTATAGAGTCATCTTGGACAGTGGTAATAGTTTAGTGGTAATAGTTTAAAAAGGTTGGTAACCGCTGTCAATCTATTGGATTTATTAATTGGAGTGGCAGAGCAATTTGAAATGTGTTGGAGATAATTTAGTAATCATAACGCTAATTATATACACAGAGAATGCGGAATTTGTTGGTGCTATGTAAATAACATAATAATTAAACTGCTTGTACGCGAGCTGTAGTGGTTACGGTGCCTGGAGTGTTCCTTTAAGGATGTGTAAGGCCTTGAAAGTCTAACAAAGTGTTTTAAATCATAAGTTGTAGAAATAACGTTCTCTACAACCAAGGGTTTGGTATACATTTAAGAGACATTACCAATAAAAGAGCTGTTGCATTTGAGAGCAGCCTAAAACCGTTTTCACTAAAATATTGTCAGGAATTCAAGATTTAAAAGGTCAAGAGAGTCAGATTGGAATTATTTTTCAAGCACAGCAATAGGTTATGGGTATGTAGGTTAGAGTTACAAGAACAAAACTTGGAGACGTGGTCATGTAGCATCCAATGAATATCGTGATCATATTAGTCACCTTGTATGGTTTTAGAGGCCAAATTATCCAGGAGCATAAAGAGAGAGGCACACAGTACAATGGGGATGTCAGATCCTAACAACACAGCTGCTATTGGACTACATTTCCCATTATGTCCCTTAGCTATTGTATAGCAGAGAACGCAGTGTTTGGAAAATATTGAGAATAATTTATGCAGTTAATCTACACTACTGAAGCAATAACCTGCTCCAAAGCATTAGAGAGACTATGTTAATAAATATAGATTTAGGTTTTCTTACCATAAGCACAATATATGTCTGTTTATTTGCACAACAGGGTATTTGAGAGAACTAGAGGCAGTGTCTGAATTGAACATAAAGATAAAAATGCAAAAAACATTCAAAAGCAAAAGTGGACAAGCAGCAGTATTGAATAATAGGGAACATGTAGCAAAAATTAAGATTGCAGGCATAGTCTGAGTGGTAATTATAGTTTTGTGATATGCAAGATGCCATTTCAGGAATAGAAACAAATGTGTATGGAACTGTAATTAAAACATTGCATGTAAAAAATACTTTTATATCTTCTATGTGAACACTAGAGATATCTGCACTGTTTAATTTCCAAAGGTTTTAATTATATAACAAATAGTAATGGAGACAGATGGCACCCTTGCCATGATCCATTCCTAATTAAGAGTCTGATATAAACCCTGTATTTAAAATATGGGCAGAGAGATAACTATAAACTCCTGACATTTATTAATGTAAAAGGGATCCCAAAGCGTGTGTAATATTGCATACAAATAAGTCCTATTTACGTGTTCACAATACATTTTTGCATTTCAGATGGATGAAAGTTTGTTTCCGCACCAAACGTTAGATGAGAGAACTGCACTGAATATATTGCTTAGGACAATCTTACATAACAGACCTGCCCGGAGTTCCTTCCAGTTCCAGCCCCAGAGGTAACCTTCAAGTTAAAACATAGTTGAATACTGAATGAGGAAATGCACAGAATGTTCAATCTTCAAAAACATCAGAAACAAACCTAGTCACCTAACCCCCAAATATGTAATGCATCAGCCCAGTAATCTGTAATAAACGTTATACATTTTCTCCATCTGTAGTTTCAATGACTACAAACATGTTCCTTTATTTAGAGCCAAAAGCACTAAGCCAAGTTCTTCAGATCTATACACGATATTATACACACACACACATATATATATATATATATATATATATATATATATATATACACACATATATATACACACACACTCTTACTATTCTAACATATACAAACACTATTGTGAATTCCATATAAAGAATTTTAGAACAATGGGATGCTATGCAGACCATAAAACTCATATTTGCCTTTAAAGGTTTGGAAGGGACGAGCGCAGCGCAGTGGTGGGAGACAGCAGAATACATTCACGAGGATGGGATTCAATGGCACCTCAGTTCTGGAGCATGGCAGTACCTCAGCGTTTTGGAAGAAAGAAGTGAAGAAAAAAAAAATTGAGGGATTGGTTGACTCGTGTCTCAGATGTACTGTTCGGAAAAGCTGCAAAGTACAACAATCAATACAAGAGATCACACAAAGAACATGGACTCTCACTCATCTCCCCAATACTATATATTGATAGTCAAACATTTTGTAAATATCAGTGTGTGACTCATCTAGCTCACAACCATATTTCATCCATAAGAAGCAGCCATTTCCAACCCTGAAGATCATAATTTGCCATTTGTCATACATGTATTGCTCCTTACCACACTGTAAAGAGCAGCCATCTTTAATGTTTATATGTCAGTTGATTTTGCAAACTCATCAATAAAGCCTTTTGTTGTTTCATCAGTCATGTTTCATGACCATAGGGGGGGACGGTGAGGGAGGGATGACTAGGGCATTCAAATACAGCCCATTCATCTAGAAAATCATGTGAAATGTACATGTTTATTATAGATCACATTATGATCAGTGGTGCTATCCTTAATTGCGTAAGAAAACAAATCCATCAGTTATTAGTGTGATGCTGCTGCAAGGGTATTTGAGGATGAACAAAAAGTTATAAAGACCAAAATAGCTGGTAACATTAAACTTCAGAAGAAATTTAGAAGAGTGCTACTAACTGGAAAATGGCTGTCAAAATACTGACAGTGGGGCAATCACCATAGAAAGAAATGGAATCATCAGGTATATTCCGTTTGATATATATATATATATATATTATTATTTATTTTTTTTACAACTTTGTCCCACTTTTCACATTACTTTGATAAAACTACACCGTTGTTTTATTTTACAACAGAAGTTGTAATAAGCTCAATTCAAACTATTAAATGAATAAATAAATTAGCATATGAGTAAAATATTGTGAATCTTTGTGACCAAGAAGCAATGTAAAAGAGCATATTCATATATTTGTTAGAATGTCAACAACAACAAAAAACAAAACAGACAAAAAACTTGCCTCTTGTTTGCTGTGAGGTTACAAAGTTCAAACCAATGGACTGTTCTCGAAGGAAGTGCCTTGAATTTTTAAAATCCTGCATCTTCCTTTCTTCAATGGAATGGTAAAAGCTCTTTAAATCAAACAAGAAGTCTCTACATTTCAGGTAAAATCCATATCGAAAGGATGTCAACTTGTGCTAGCAGAGAAATATTTTGAAGCAGCTAAAATTAATGTAAACCCCTGGACAACAATAGACCACCAGTAACAATCTCAGGACTCCCAAGACAGAAAGTATCAGTTTTCTCCTAACTCACAGACGCTCAATATGAGGTTACTAATTCCAGAATACTTAATTTCAGAACCACTCATCAATCAAGAATATCTCCCCAACAAACAGAGCAAGCATGCAGGTTATTTGCCTAAACTTTCAATGATGTGCTTTTATACCAAAGGCTCACATGATGTCAATACACATCTCAATATATACAAGTGTATTTTACTTTACATCATAAGATCCAAACATGCATTATAAAAAAGGAATAACATAATTTTGTAAAACTAAAATAAATCACAAATTTAAAACAAAATATTAACCACCATAAAACCAATCCAAATAAAATGTTGTTCAATACAATATACCTAAAGTTACAAAGAAATTACCCCTGACGAAGGTGCACTCTGCATTGCACCGAAACGCTTGTCGGGCATTTTTTCTTTGTGGGTTATGGGCACTGCACTGTTTACTTTTAAGCACGTTTGAATCATATGTAACCTTCTTTTATTATTTATCGCTTCTATGCCTATCTAGCTAGTTTTACAGGGAGAGAGGCTTTGTAAGTTAACTATTGCCAGTTCAATTTTTGCCTGGCTTAAAAATATTCACTAGTATCCTTCTCCATACTCTATATCTGGGTAGTACCTGTCTCACAGGTTTACTTTAGGGATACTAGCATATATATTTGGATTCTCTATTTGAGGGTTTTGACCAATACCTTTAATTGTATCTATATCCATTTATGGTAATTTGGTAGCATTTGGTTATCCTGCCTATATCTAGGAATCCTTTTCCTGATCACTAAGCTAGGGCAGAGATTATACCACCTACCATTTAACCCTTTATTTGTCTCTGGGATGATCTGGTGTGTTTTTTATGCAGCTGACTTCCGTTTATTGGGGGTCCAGTAGAGTCTTCATTTTTTGAGCCAATGTAATAAAGCTCATTTTATCTAATTGATTTTTACTCTACCTGGACATAGTCCCCTTCCTCTGAGCTGACACATATTTGTAGGCTTAGACGCTCATTATTAAGTGGCTACTTATTTTTTGTTGTTGGTGTATTTTACTTGACCAAGACTGTTGCTCTTATCCTTTATTTTTGTATTCCTACAATTATTACACTTATGTCTACAGTTATATCCAGGTAATACAGTGACTCTCATATTGTGTTTCTGATGAGAGTCTCTGCATAATTTCTTTCTTTTTCTCTTGTATACTAAATAGGACCCTGCAGTATAAAGGAAAATAGCTACATTATTAGATAAGGATCCACAATTTTCCATTTCTGATAGGTTGTGGACATGCCAGTAACAAATACATTAAATACAGAAGTGTTCTACTGTTTGAGATACGGGTATATTCTACTCTGTGCAAGAGGTTGACCAAGTGATGCTATATCAGAAGGACCTCTAGCTAGAATCTGTTATGTCTACCAATGTACCCTAAAACAGACATGAAGCACAAACCCCCATAGACCATTGTCACTTTAATGATTAGCATTTAGTAGATTATATCTGAAGCATTTTAACGTGTGTTCCATAGCGTATTTTATACTTTTTACATATCCTGTGCACAGTATATTAGATTAGAAGTTAAATAAAGTACAAGCAAACATTTACTTAATTACAGGTGTCTGAATTTGGCAATATACATATTTGATGCATGCAATTGGGAAATCAAAATTACTTGTCAGGTTACCGTCTCCAATCTTTGAAAAGAGCAAACAGTGAAACAAACAGGTTCAAACAGGCAGTTCGTGATGTAGTGCATGAAAAAGAGGTTGAAGCAATATTTCCCTTATATGATATCTAACTAGCACACATCAGCAAATTGTAATTGCATATTGACAGAAGCCTAGAAGTAGAAAAACAACTGGTATTAAAATCCATTTGTTTCCAGAACCTCTCCTTTAACCGACGAACATAATTATAAAACGCTAAGAATGCAGACTAATTAAACAATTTGAGTTCATTGGTAAAAAAAAACAAAAAAAAACACAACCCACACACTTCATCACTCAATGTATTTCCCTGTATATAGTAATAATTTAAAAAGCGGTAGTCAGTAGTTGCTGTGATACAGATTAAAAGAAGTTGTCAGCGGAAATCCTACATGAAGACTGCCAGGATGTGAACCTAATGCCATTAAAATGAAATTATCATCATGTTCCATGTTAAGTGGTAGGATGTTTAAACTGCTCTCTGAGCGTAATTAAGACATTACTGCTTAATGATCTCTTATCGCCGTTACCCAAAAAGACACTAGTTTATTATGTGATCACACAAAACAGATTGTGTTAAAACAACAATGATTAACTAAATTTAATGACGTGTACATGATGGTTTTTACACATGAACTGTGGTTGGGCTTAGCCTAAATAAACAAAGCTCAGGAAGGGGTTTATTATCTTTGCTATATTAATAGCATTATTATAAAGTTATGTTAATAACAATATACTGCGTTTTATCTCATTCTCTCCCAAATAGAATGTTTATCGCCTGTAACTAGCATGCTGGGAAACTAAAGGGAACTGCTATTAAGGGGAAAAAAATAATTTAAAAAAACCTCACATCATATATAGACAATAGCATCAATTAAACAAAAAGATGTCAAACTTCTGTAACGGTAATTGTGAGAGGCGATTTGTAGATGCAGCTACATCTATATCACCAATCAGGAGCCTTTCTCTGGTCTACCGAGTCTGATACTTTCCCATAAAAGGATAAATCCTTTTCCCACAGTTCTACAAAGTCACAAAAGAGGAGTGAAAGTGCTCAAAGCAGCCACACCGTTACTGTGGTCAGTGGAAAGGTTACTCCAGGCGGTGGTTTTAAGCTTCTTGATTGATACTTTAAATAATATACTGGGCATTTCTCACGGCGCTGCCTAAAATGTGAGTTTATTTTTTCCCCCAACAGGAGTTAGGTTGTGTTAAACAAATCAATTACAATTATGTATATATAGCGCTGTGTTCTGCAGCACTGTACAATAGGGACCAAGACAAACATTTAAGTCCAGCAAAACATACATGATGTACTGGAAACGTAGGCGGAGAGGGCCTCTATCCAAACAAGCTTACAATCTAAAGGGATGAGAAACAGATACACAAAAGGGTAGTGAGGGCTGTTTGGGAGGAGGGAGCATATTAGGAGACAACAGAGTAAGGTCGTTGGGGATGAGGAGTTGAGGGGTGAGATAAAAGGCGACTCTCTAGATAAATGTGTTTTCTGGGACTTTTTTTTAAGTACTTAAGAGAAGGAGAAAACATTCGGGCATGGGGGCAACCAGAGCAAAAGTCTGGGGTGCAAAAACAGAACAGGTCATTGGTGAGCAAAAAGGGCCAAGCTGGAGTATGTCTGTTAATGAGGAACGAGATGGGAGCAGAAGAAAGGTTATGGAGAGCTTTGTAAGTAAATACAAAAACTTTGACCTGAATTCTAAATAAAAGAGGAAGCCAATGTAATTAATTCCTGCACATCAGGTAGAGAAGTGTTGCAGAGGATTCATTACAGACTGTAGAGGGGCAATCTGCTTGTCGATCTGAAAAATGCACAGAGGATTACAATAATCATGGCGGGAAACAAGAGCATGGACAAGTGCTTTAGTTGCATCTTGAGTGAGAAATGGGTGAAAGTGAGAGATATTTTTAAGGTCAAACTCAGGCTTTGATAATAGATCTTATGTAATGGGTTAACGAAAGGTCAGAGTCAAATATATCCCAAAGGCAAATGTGCCTGAGTGGTAGAGTTTATGATCGTTCCACTCACTTTAAGGGAAATAGAAGCAGCTTTAGAGGGTGCAAAGACAGGGACTTTGATAGGTTGAGTTTTTAGTAATTGTTAAGCCATTCCGTCAGTAGTTTGTGATATGATCCAGCTGATGGGCAGAAAGATCAGTCGAGGGTATCATCAGTGTACATGTGATATTGAAAATCATAGGATATTGGATTACCAAGAGATTATTAGTTCTGAAGCACCAACAAAGAGCTGTACAATGGGTGGACTAACAGACACGTAATTGTAACCAGACAAGTAGGACAAACAGACACACAGTGGTTGAGGGCCCTGCTCAGTAAACTTACATGCTAGAGGGAGTGGGGTATAGTTACACAAGGGGTGAGGGTAGGGGTAGAAAACCTAGGTTGCTAGAAAAGTATTTACGGAGGGCTTAGTGGGTTATTTCTCACAGTTCCAGGAGAGATGCAGTATAAATTGAGAAAAGAGGTCTCAATACAGAGTATTGAGGAACATCAGGATATCAACAAATTAAAGAGACCGTAACAAAAGGTTAAGAGCAGTTTGACTTTGAATTGACACCAATTGGTATTTTTTAGCATCAAACTTTTTAAAATATGCTCTCGAAGATTTAGCTCCAGATTCGTTACCAATTTTAAACTGTTACATAGAGACAGTGTTATTACAATGCACATCATGTGTGCTTGGTATATTTTGCAAAGATCCCTAAAGGTGACATCTCCATTTAGAGTCTTGTACTTATAGGGTGCAGTAGAAGGTAGATTTTACTTACCAGAAGCTGTCCCTTCATTAGCAATTTATCTGCCCATAAAAGTGCCCGTGATGTACTCTTGCACTTGTGCGAAAGTATATCACTGAGGTCTATGGAGGATCCAGTAAGATCCTCAACAGATCACATCTCATGATCAGCAAGTCAATGCGGTCACTTTACGACTGCAGAGATTGGACAAATGTTGATGGCGAAGCTCCACCTTTAGTCAATCTCAGGCTTGCCCATAAGACAAAATAGTCTTATGGGCAGCGCAATCATGAGCATTTTATATACATTACATCTTTATGAAATATTTAGAAGTAACAGAGCTGCTTTATTTGGCCTTCGGGTGCCAAAGTTGAAATAACCTGAAAACTTCTCTTTATTGGAAAAAAACATTAAAAATAATAATAATCCCCCTTCTAGACCATTAGTAAGTTTTTTTCTTTTCTTGTTGGAAACAGATCTAAAACAGTCTGAATTAATGTGAATACGAGTGTACCAAACATTAACACCACCTCTCTTCAATAAACAGAACGAAGGGGTAAATTACAGGTGAAAGCCATGCTACACTGAAAAAAAAATAATCACTTGTGTGTAATGGAATGTAAGAGATATGTCTTGACAAATAACACACGGATTGAGAACATGCAGCCATTCAATGGCTGAAAGGTTTAACAGACCTTTTAATGGGTTTATGGTGGGTACCAGGAGCACAAACTTGCAACATTGGTGGGGTTTTCACAGTCTTGCCCATTATATATAAAGAATAGTTATCATTCAAAAAAACAGCCAACAAATGGAGGAGAGTTCACACAAGACTAAAAATCACAAAGCAAACAGCAGAGCAACAGTCTAGTTAATCAAGTGACTGATGTGCAAAAATATACAGAATAAATTAACTTGACACAATTTTGTCTTTTTGCTATTAATATAACAATGAATTAGAAACACATTCTGGTTGCATGCCTTCTGTTTCATTAGGATTTCAGGAGGAAGGTACAGGTTGATAAACACGCAAATTTTAAGAAAGCCTAAAGTGTGCACAATTATCCCCCCAACAGAATAATGTCCACTTTGAAACAGCCTGAATTGTCCAGGAACAGTCTAGTAAACTTAAAGGGACACTATAGTCACCAGAACAACTACAGCTTATTAAGTGTTCTTGCATAGCAAGACCACTTAATGTTATCTCACATATATATTATTATTCTTATTATAGCCAAATTTACCACCCTAACTCCTCCCACAGTTTTTACACTACATAGACAGTAATATACCGAAACGTGCGGATTGTTCCCGATTGGTGTGCTATTACTTTGTGGAACGTTTCACGGAATGGTTCACAAAATATTGTCTTTTTTTGTGGTGAAATTGGTCCCATAGGATTGAATGGCAAAATGTTCAAAACTAGAGTGGGAGTTGGCAAAAGCTGAAAAATCAGGACATGATTTCTAAACTGCCACCACTCCCTCATTTTCAAGCCCACCTACACAAATCTTCTATCAAAAGTTTTCACAATATGACCATTTGTTTGCAACTCACGCCGTCCATTGACATTCATTGAAACTGCACTCTAGCCAGCTCAAACTTAAAGGGCAATTTCTAGCCTGCGATTGTGCCTTTATTTGAATAGTTCAGAGACATACTATGCAAAATGTAGGTCTGGGTCTTGTGATTCTCACAATGTAAAGCTCTTCGCTGTAGGATTTATAGTTTTTAAAATACGACCGTTTGAAGATGGCAACCGCCAAAATACTCTGACCTGTGCCAGGCTGCAGCAGCAAGTGATGTCATAGACAGGGCCTTTTGTACACCTGCTAATGTTTTTATAAGTACTGTGAAGCACTTTGGACAACAACGTTGCAATTAAATGTGCTATATAAATAAATAAAAGTTGAAATACATTTCTCACTATCAAGCTTGCCATGTGCACTTTTTAAATTTGATCAATTGGTTAGTGTAAAGTTTACTATCTTTACTCACTCCAAACACTCCACACACAGTTACTCTGCCCACTCCATAAAGTTACTCTGCCCAGTCCAACCTTTCCACAGTTACTCCAGCCACTCCAACCCCACAACAGTTACTCAAGGCACTTCACCCAGTTACTCCGCCCACTCCAGTTGTAGACTACTGGTGGAGGCAAGAACACTTCACACGATTTCCCCAGAAATTGTAGCTTTTCTAGTTGAATTTGTTCTGGTGAGTAGAATCAACCTTCAGGCTTTTTGCTATAAACACTGTGTTTTCAGAGAAAATGCAGTGTTTACATTACAGCCTAGTAATAACTTCAATGACTACTCCTCAGATAACTGTTAGAGATCCTTCCTAGGTCATGGCTGCCTAAAATGCATCCAAACATTCAGTATCTCCTCCCTCTGCAAGCAGACACTGAACTTTCCTCATAGAGATTATTGATTCAATTCATCTCTATGAGGAGATGCTGATTGGCCAGGGCTGTGTTTGAATTGTGCTGGCTCTGCCCCTGATCTGCCTCTTTGTCAAGTCTCAGCCAATCCTATGGGGAAGCATTGTGATTGGATCAGGCTACCACTTCTGATGATGTCAGCAGGCATTGGGCAGGTCTAAAAGTTAACAGGGACAAACAAGCAGCTGCAGGCTTGAATACAAGTAAGATTTTTACTATATTTATGGACGCATGAGGGGGGCTAGATGGTGGTTTTAACCCTATAGGGTCAGGAATACATGTTTAAAGAAGAAGAAAAAAAACTGCTATGTTTTCATTGCAGTGTTAAGACTGCCTCTAGTGGCGGTCTACCAGACAGTCACTAGAGGTGATTTCTGCAGTTTCACAGAGTTTGGCCACGCTTTGCACAAGGAGATCCAGCATCAAGCAACATTGAGTCAATGCTTTCCTATAGAGGAGGCCTAATGCTCGTGGCATTTGCTACACACATGCATTATGTTCCCTTGCCCCCCCAATCGGCTGACATTGGTGGAAGAGAAGCACGACACAGCACCAAGGGACCTTGGCACTGGAATCAGGTAAGTTAAAGGAAATTTTTTTTGTAGCCCTTTCCTAGTGTTAGAATGCATCTTTATTTTCCTAATACTAAAGAGTTCATTTAACTGTAAATTAATCTTATTACTGTTAGTCAGTAAACAGCTATTACCATCCAATAGTGCAGTGGAGACAACATCAATCAGCATCTCCCAAGAAAAAAATGCTTTAGATACCTGTAGAGCAGTGGTTTCCAAACCAGTCCTCATGACCCATCAACAAACCAGGATTTTTGCAGTTCCCTCTTTTATTCCAATCGAGATCCTGACAAAACCTTGACTTTTGGTGGGTCTTGAGGACTAGTTTGGGAAACACTGTTCTAGAGACTATATATTATTAGAGGATGCACAACCGAATACCATGGGAGGCTGGTGAAGTTTTAAAATGATGTGGGCGCCAGACTCTCCCCACATAACTTGTCTCCACCCCCTCTCTTTGGAACACCACCTCCTGATTTAGTGGACCCATATGGAACATGAAAATAGCTTTCAAAATAAAATAAAAAGAAATAAAAGGTGAAAAAAATGTTTTTACAAATAAAACCCACTTTTCATGGTTTAACTTTAACGCCATAGATGTGACCTGCACATTGGAGAGAAAAGTAAGTCTCATAGACCTGGCACTGAAACAGTAAAAACATAATTCCCAGATTTTACTATTAGCATGACGTAAAGTCATGATTTTATTGAGGGCACGGAGGCGAGTATTATGCATTCTCTTTCTTTTTTTTTTCATTCAGCAGCAAAGAAAATCATCAGTATAACACTTCCTAGGAACACTGCAATCATGACACAGTACAGTCCATAAAGGTGCGACAATCCTAGACTCCTCCTCTTTCTTGCGTAATCACCCGAAGACCAACAACAACAACTGGAACCAAGTAAAATCAACAGAACAGGAACTATGGTAACAAAACCTCCAGCATTGTGATGTACCATATAACCTTTGTCAATAAAAATAAAGAATAAAAAAAAAAAAAGAATATAATCCAACAAAACACTGGCAAAGAAGTATTCAAGCTAGATGAGAAGAAAAAATATGGGAATATTGAAAGTTCGTGACTCAGATTCAACAATCATCTATCTAGCCATAGGCATGTAAACAATATAGGTAATAAAACACCAAACCAAACCTCTTACGCCTACTTGCGTAAGAGGTATTTTTCTGCACTCACCAGAATCTACAGATGGTATGAAGAAACTGAATAAAAAACAAATAATTCCAAGAGGGAAGGGTGGGAATAATACTCACCTCCTGTGTGTAGACAAGCAACCACCAGCTTTAGTACCTTTGTGAGGCACCAGGGAGCAGAGGAAAGGTCAAATGGGAGACATGAAAACCTACAATTTGTCCCTTGCCACTGAAACTGGAGGAAATTCTGATGATTTTCTGCAAGAGGGATTGTCAGATACGCGTCTCACAAGTCCAGTTTGACCATTCAATCTAACAGAATGTCCCGAAGGCAATGGATAACCTCCATCTTGAAGTGGCGGTATTGGACAAATGCATTCAAAGGAGAGGAGATCGATGGTTGGTCATATTCCGCCTCCTTTCTTGGGGGACCAGAAAAAGGTTGCTCACAAAACCCAATGTATCCCAAGGGACTTCCTGAATAGCATTTTTGGATGCGAATTTCTTCGGTAATGAAGGTTTGATGGTTGGCGGCAATAATAATCTCCCAAGATGTGAGCGCCTGTATGGGATGAGAGACCAACAGTAACCGATAGCCCCGTATCATTTGTTATCACAGTCTATGACTGGTAAAACAGTGCTAGTGTGCTCCCTACTTTTACACGTGAAAAATGGGAATAAATTGTACTTCCCATAAAGGTCTTATTCTGGAGACTGACCCCTGTGGCCCACGAGATGGTAAGAACGGGTAGTTATGCTCCTGCATAAGTCTCTGTGTGTTGAAGGAGCCTCTATGTTGTTTGAGCCCCGAAAATCAACAGCTGGGTAGACTGCTTCTACCTCTTCCGGTACCCTCCAAAAAGCTTGCAAACACCCTCTTTAGAGAAGATTGTGCTTTGTCAAGCACTGTAAATGTCTTTACATTATTGTGGAGATCCTTGATGAAGGATTCCCCAATAAGAAGGCCATTGGCGGCTGGTCCTAGCTTATTGGTTACCATACTGACCAGTCTGGGCTCAATCTTGAACAGAATTGCCTTGCGGAGTTCAGAGGACATTGCAGTATTCACGTTTCTTACCATGCAAACTAATTGTTGCAACCAACCCTTAGCCACCTCAAAATTAAAGACTACCTCACCTGATTGGGCAGCCTCAATAAGCTTGTATAGCTTTGTAATAGGGCATAGGGTGTCCAAGAATCTTGGCAATTCTTAATAAAAAGTCAAGACCTTTTTTCGGCTTCCATCCCGACTTGTTCAGAAACTGAACAATCTGCGAGTCAACATCTGGGGATTTCCCAACCAGATCCGGTAGAATGGTCCGTGAGCATTCAACCCTAAGCTTACTGCGACCCTATTTGGACAATGGCTTATGCAATCTAAGTGCGAGGTATTAAGCAATGTGCTCAGCAGGCTACAACTCAGCTGAACGAGGATGGTGCAGATTGTCCAGGTCAAACAAGGGATTACACCCTGTGGGTGTAGAAGACTGCTGCCCTTGTTTACCTCAGAAGTCTAAGAGCCCTGAGCATTAGCCTTCTGGACCGAAGAGGCAGGTTTCTGATTCCAAATCATCAAGGTCGGAGCCGTCCTCACTATACAGGTCCATATTCCTCCACAATTATCCTGGGCACGACAGCCTTGTGTATGTAATTTAAGACCGGATTAACCTGTTTAGTTGGACGGGATATAGCATGTTTATGCTTACGTAAGGCTTTGAAGCCTGGTTGCACCAGTGTGGCGGCTAACGAGACCTGACTAACCTGTGGGCCACTGCCTTGTGTCTGTATAAAGGCCTGGGTAATGGACGGAGTGATGGAGGATGACAACACCCATTGCTGAAGCCTTAACGGAGTGAGCGATGGTGGAATCAAGGAGTGATTCGAATTCCTCTGATGCCATAATGTTGGCACCATCTCCGAAATCCCTGCCAGAAGGGGAAACCCCAGGCAAGGGAAATTCAGGGCCAGAGGGTCCACCACCCTGATTCTGCATAGGCAAGGTAGGCAATAACCTAAACTCAAACAGCAGAAAAACTGCTATTTAGTAAACAAAAGGGCCAATGTGCAACAATCAATACTTAAAGGCACTAAGCTTTAACTAAATAGGTTAAATCCCAATGAGAAATAGGTTAAGAGTAAAAAGTGGTGAAAGGATTGAGTAATCCACACACCAAGAATTATAGGTTAAGAGTAAAAAGTGGTGAAAGGATTGAGTAATCCACACACCAAGAATTTACTCATTGCAGAAATGTTTTTAATTTTTTTTTAAATGACACGTTCTGGGAGTGTACCAGGGAGAGGAAGAAACGATCTAGTATATGATAACCCTAATTTTCGCGCTCTTTTTCTGGCATGAACTGGGGAGAAGGAATAAAATGGCCGCCATAAGTGCTAGCGCGCATATGCAATGACAAACAAACAAAAAAAAGGCCGTCGCAAGGTTAACCGTGCACGCGCAACGGTCAGAGGGGAAAAACTGCAGCCTAGAAAAATTTGCATGCCTCCGAGAATGGCGAAGACCGCGGCCCAAGGCCATCTGCAGGTCTAATACAGAAACAGTGTGGACGGTCGAGCAGGAGGCCTGGGAAGTGGTAACTCGGTAAGGGAGAAGAATGTGAGCAGGGAAAAAGGGAGGCCCCAAAGGAGAAGGGCAGGGAAAATGGGAAAGACAACACTCCGAGAGACACAGTAATGACTGTTGATAAGAAAATCAGATAAAATAATGTACAATCCCAAGTATAACAAAAGTATAAATGGAGACGTAAAATGGAATACTTAGCTAGTCTGAGGGAGCAGCAAAGAAAGAGGGGAGTCTAGGGGTGTCACACCTTTATGGACTGTACTGTGTCATGATTGGTTGCAGTGTTGCTAGTCAATGTTGTGTTTTACTGATGATTTTCTCTCATCATTTTTTTTTTTGCTGTTGAAGGAAAATAAAGAAATAATGCATAATAGAAGCCTTGGTGTCTTTAATAAAATTATGTATTACTAAGTATACAGGAAATTGCTAAGGTTTATGAATTATCATGCAGGAAATTACCAAGGTTAATGAGTTACACCATTCCTACTTTGGCACAATAAATTATGTTAAAATATTAGATTATTACAATTGTCACAGAAAAATCCAAGTTAAAAAATTAGACTTGAGGATACAGAACAAAACAATAATAGAAAAGTACCTGGAAAGCTCAGTCTGGCAGCACGGTTAAATAGAAACAAATAATGTGGTAGGTCTGGGAGAAACATTCCCAGAAGGCACACAGTGCTGAAGTTTGTGAAACACATTTTCATCAGACACATATAGAGCTGACACGAGGAAGACATTTTTTAAAATGCACACAGTGTTCCTATTGGATGGCACAGCCACACACAGTGCTGACATTAAAGGAACATTATAGGGTCAGGAATACAAACAGCCCCCCTCAATTTAATAAGATCTTACCTTTATTTCAGTCTGCCCGTGATCTGCCTCCTTCACCGACATCATTAGAAGTGGTGATCTGAGCCAATCACAATACTTTCCCATAGGCTGAGCTTGTCAAGGAGGCAGATCAGGGGCACAGCCAGCACAAGCCAAACACAGCCCTGGCCAACCACCATCTCCTCATTGAATCAATCTATCTCTATGAGGAAAGTTCAGTGTCTCCGTGTAGAAGGTGGAGAGACTGAATGTTAGTGCTGCACACTGTAAAGCACTGCCCCAGGAAGCACCTCTAGTAGCCATATGATTAGTGGCCAGTAGAGGTATCCTTAGGCTATAATGTAAACACAGCATTTTCTCTGAAAGAAAACCGTGTTTACTGCAAAATGCCTGAAAGGGCTGGTTATACTCACCAGAACAACTACAATAAGCTGTAGTTGTTCTGGTGACTATAGTGTCCCTTTAAGCAAGGCTCTAATCAAAACATAGCACTGACACTTTGTGAGTTCCACTGTAGCCTACTGTTTAGGAGCTTGTACTTTTGATATAGTGACCCGGGTTCAAATCATCTTATGGGGAAATATTTTCTCTATTTTTTTTGTTAAATATGATAAAAATCTGATAAATCAAACATTGCTGGAGACATTACATGCAGTGAATTATTTTACCTGGATCAACACACAAGACAATAAATATTCACTGTTGCATGTTCACTCCACAGAAACTGAATAAGTATAATTAATGAGGTTTTCATAATGAGGGCTTCCACTAAATATAGCAAGTTAACATACATGCGATAACTACATTGCACTTTTGGAAGCAGAACTAGCAAAAAAAAAAAAAAAACACTTTACAAATAAAAATGCAGGAGTTTAAATCATACCCTCAGAATCTCATGTATATAGAATGAGCATATAAAAAAGGAATTAAACTTACAACCTGTGCATGATAAGCTCCATGCACTGCATCAAGCGTTACTAGCAAGTAATGGATGAGATTTTTTTGAACTATCATACACTCAGCATCCAATTTAGCCGCTCATCTGAAAATCACTTCTAGATGCATACTGAGCAAGTCCAGTGTGCCCTCTAATTGGATAAATACATTTTTTTTTTTTTAAATCAACTTAAATTCTCCCAGTTACCCTCAATAGCATATCCATACAGCCATCCTTTATAATTAATGAGTCCGTTTATGCTTTGGTGGAGGAAGGGGGAGGGACATCAAAGCACTGCAGTATTATATGTTTTCTATTTATAATGAAAATTTGCAAGTTAACTTTTCCCAAAGGGAAACAAGGTCAGTAATTCACGCTTTTTACCACTGGCAAGAGATTTTATTATTATTATTATTACAACAATTATCTGGAGGTGCGCTGCTCAAATGTCCCTATGGACGAGCCTTCACTGCCCAATGTGTTCCTAATGTATTGTACACTGTTGCAATTCTCCTTTTGTAAACAGACCATGCTTTCATCACAATGGCTGACCAGGGTTTTAGTGCAAGTATGAATATACATGCTTGTTCAAATGTTGCCTTGTAAGGTTCCTGAGAATCGATAAATTAAAATTTTGCTTGAAGTCAATATAGGAAAGCATCTCCTTTCCAGTATTCGCATTAACACAATGATTTAGGAGTGAGCAAATGGGAAAAAAACAACAAAACCGAATGCCAAATAATTGCTACTTTACAAGTTCAGTAGTGGTAGTGATACAGGGATACCAGCCCAGATTCTTTTCAGCTGTAGCAGAGCGTGCAGCCCTTTGGTTTGCAGGAGCTGGAGACCTGCTGGCCTGTTCCTTAATACCATACTGTGGGATGAGATTTTAGGAATGACAGGCTGGTGCAGTCTTCACATAGCTGAAATAAGGAAATTTAGCTGTGAGATAAATTACGAGGGAATGGGGAGGCAGGTACGAATATGCCTCCCCAACCTGACTCACTTCTGGCCTGCCATGAGCTTCAGGTACTCCAATGCGTTTTTAGCAGCGTTTGCGTGAGACTCGTCACGAGAAGGGGCAGATCCATGGCACACAGTTATGGGCTGAGTAGAAAGTTCCACAAAACACTGACACTTTCCGCTTAAGCTGCGTTCACCTTGGGGGAAAAAAAGAAAAGAAAATGGAACTACATTTTAGGCACATACTGTAATATCTATAACGTACACACAAACAAATAAAAATAAATCTATAGATTTAAAAAAAATAAAAAAAATGTTAGCTTAAAGGATCACTATAGGGTCAGGAACACAAACATTTACTCCTGACCCTATATTGTTAAAACCAACCAAAATCTTACTTGTATTCAAGTTTGAAGCTGCTGGCTATGACCCTGAACTGCCTCTGTCTGCTGACATCATCAGAAGTGGTGGCCTCAGCCACTCACAATGCTTCCCCATAGGATTGGCTGAGACTGTCAAGGAGGCAGATCAGGGGCAGAGTCAGCACAAGTCAAACACAGCCATGGCCAATCAGCATCTCCTCATAGAGATGAATTGAATCAATGTATCTCTATGAGGAAAGTTCAGTGTCTGCATGCAGAAGGTGGAGATACTGAATGGCAGTGCTGCACACTAGGCAGTACTGCCCCAGGAAGCAACTCTTGTAGCCATCTGAGTAGTGGCCAGTAGAGTTATCACTAGGTTGTAATGTAAACACTGCATTTTCTCTGAAAAGACACGGTTTACTGCAAAAAGCCTGAAGTGAATTATTCTTTTCACCAGAACAAATACAATAAGCTGCAGTTGTTCTGGTGATTATAGTGTCCCTTTAAGCAAGGCTCTAATCAATAAACAAAAATAAACAATCATATTCTCTGTTTGGACAGGATGCAAGTGGAAACTACAGAAATTTGAGTGAAATGCCTACTAAGTTAAAGGGACACTATAGTCGCCAGAACAACTACAGCTTATTGCATTTGTTCTGGTTAGTACAATCATGTGCTGCAACCGCTTTCTTCAAACTCCACCAGAGATTTTCTATGGGGTTCAAGTCAGGTGACTGATGACCACAATAGAATTTTCCAGGACTTCTTTTGCAATCAAGCCTTGGTGAAAATTGAGGTATGCTTGGGATCATTGACTTGCTGGAAGGTCCAATGATACTCAAGCTTCAGCTTCCTCACAGATCGCATGACGTTTTCTCCTAAGATTTCCTGATACTTCAATGAATCCATCTTGACTTCCACACGCTGCAGATTTCCCATGCCAGAGGATGTAAAGCAGCCGTAGAGCAGCACTGAGCCCCCACAATGCTGTTTTTTGGTATAGACTATTATTATTCTTCCTCCAGACTTACAGTTGATCCATTGGGCCGAAAAGTTCCAGTTTTGTTTCATCACTCCCCAGAACAGAATTAAAAAAACGTATTTATATGATATTGAGGATATGGGAGCAGACTTCTTGTGCTTTTGGATCGTTAGTGATGTACGTTTTGGAGTTTTGGCACGGAAACCTTCTGCGTTTAGCATGCGCCTTGTGGTACTCACTCAAACCTCAGTGCTTGTTGCCACCAAGTCTTGCTGCAGTTCTTTTGCAGTCACTTAAGGGTTTTTCCGGTCTTCTCTGAAATCTGCTAGTCACAATTGATAGCTTTTAGCCGGTCTTCTCTGAAATCTGCTAGTCACAATTGATAGCTTCCTCTTTCTGCTCTGTCCAGGTAGAGTAACCACTGTTCCATCAACTTTGATCTTGCAAACGATGCTTACAACGGCATCGCTAGGAACATATAGTGCCTTTGCTATCTTTTTGTATCATGTTCCTTGTTTTTGAAGGGTGGGGATTCCTTAACTTTGTGGACCATTTTTTTTTTTTTTTTACTTATAATATTGCATATTTCTAACATGCAGTCAAACGTAACACTCAACAAACCCCTAGCCAGCTCACGCATTTTGTGCTGTTGTGAGGGAATCTATTCAGGGGGTTGAATACTTCTGAGACAACAGAAGTCATAAGAAATATTTTCAGTTGGAGTTGCGGAAAAAACTTGAAACATTCATTGTGTTGCGCTATTTCAATTGCTTGTATTTGATTTGTTCATTGTCGCCGAAAGTCTGTACATTTTAACAGTAAACCAGATTTTCAAGGGCGTTTGAATAGTTTTGATTAAAACTATATATATTTCTTTGCAAAATGCCACCTTTACCCATGAGAAACAGAGCGTTCAGAGAACTATTTTCCGCCTCCCTGCAATGGAATGCTGAAAGGATTTGTACATTACACATACTCAAAGACAGATTTAGAACCTCTGACAAAAAGCATGTAATTTTCCAAAATGTAACTAAATATAAATGGTATATTCAAAAATGTACTGTATAAAGGATTCTCTCAAGTATTGCAAGAGTTTGTCACAAAAACTATGGAGCCCAGACTTTAATTACCAAGATCAAAATAGCTAATTTGAAAGTTCTGCTCCTCTGCAAGTTCTTGTAGGAAAGTGCAGAAACTAGTGTTGGGGGTGGTCAGCGTGTTAGTCTTCAGGTGTACAATCTTCTCTCCAGTTGAGTTCCGCAAGGAATCCCAGGTGCATGTCACACCTCGACCTTTGCCTCCATCCAGCTTACCACCACCTGTGTTCTACACAATGTAAAAGATCAGTTAGTACAGTAAAATCATATATTCTCAGTAATAGACAAAACGGGTATACTAAACAGTGCAGTGAAATAGGGACGTGGTGGTGGAGCGCCAAGTTACGTGAAGGAGGTTTGAGTGGGTTTATGGAAAAACTCTGGGTAGGGGAAGAATGGAAAATAAAATGTTTGTGGAGACATACCCATTTACTAGAAGCTAAATTACTTTTTTCCTTTAAGCCCCACTCACAGTTTTTGTTGTCCATCCTTCTGTTAGTTAGAAATTTTTATTAACTAAAATAATGCCTATTTATTATGTATTTTCTGGATTACCCTTACGTAAACTAAAAGAATGCTTATTATTTATTTTCTGGATTACTCTTGCTCCATGGGGGTGGGCATGTTTAGATGCTTTTTGGATAAAGTCTATCCAACCAAAAGATCATGCAGGCCAACAAAATCTGATCAGCTTGCACAGTGCTACTCATCTCAAATATGTGCTCTGTGTTTGGTGCAGCTATTCAAATTGTGTACGGTCTTGGTAGGTACATGGGAAGTCTGACAAAAGAGAATTAATGATGGCTAGCTCTACAGTGCAAGAATAAGCCAGAAGACACACTGAAAATTTGTATTGACTTATATAACTGCATTATATTACAAAAAAGCACTCTCTGTAATATTCGGTTTTCAATGGCAAAGACTTCCTTATACTTCCTTTCAATGTGCAAAGTGGTGGCTGTGGTTTGGAAGTTGGGATAGAGTGAAGCATCAGAAATATGAAAATAGCATTTGGGTTTTAAAAATAAAAGGGGGGGTGGGATTGTGTCTTTCTGAGACCACAAACTCTGGCCCACCACGATGTTGATAGCCAACAACTCCAAGAATTCTTTGAATGCAGTAGCTAACCAGAGAGTCATGGGAGTTGCAGGTTAGCAGCACCTGAGGGCAGTGTTTAAGATGCCTGCTACAGAGGTGTGGTAATTTAAAAAAAAAAAATCTACTTGCCCTCAAGACCAAAGTCATAACCCAACCCAACTCCTCCTAACAAGCTACTTGTCCTGATCAATAAGAAAGTTTTAACTAGAAATAATCTCTCCCTCTGTCCTCCTTCAGTGTGCTGGCAGTGGGTAGTTTGTCTGGGGGGGGACAGGGGGGTGGAGGCTATGTTTAGTATGTGTGTGGGATGTGCAGGCTGTGTGTAATATGTATGTGGTGTGTGTGTGTGTGGGGGGGTGTATACCATGTGTAATGTGTGAAGTGTGGGTGTAATGAGTGAAGTGTTGTTCAGGCTTTGTGCAAGATTTGTTCCTGCTTGCTTGCATGGAGGGGGCTATGATCCCTGGTGGTCCAGCAGGAATCAAAACTTCAGTATGAGGCTGCTCTCCACACTTTGAACGGCGACCTTGTGCTCCTAGCCAATTTCAGTTAACCAATGCTCATTGTTTCTATTACCTTAATATTTTTCTTTTTACAAAAAATTAAATAAAAAGTGCAGTGTATCATAATCACATATATAAAGCTTGTTATTTTCTCTCATGCTGTGTGTCATTATTGAAACATGCATTTCACTCTGCACTTCTAAAAACAAAGAATATAAAGTTAAATAGTATTACACTATATGTATCCCTATCTATCTATACTAAAACCATTGAGCAATTGGGAGAAAAGGTTTGATAAGGAGGTCTGGTGTCAGAATAAGTCTTTATGGTAATGGTAAGTTGTATACACATACATATTACACGAAAGCACTTTGTCTGGGCCAGTTTTTCATGGATCGAGCAAAGATTCTAAGAACTAGTAAAGTGACATGTGAATTCTAAAGCACATTTCACAATCCAGTTACTTTGTTTCAATATCAAGTGGAAAGCCCTATTAGAAGAGGGAATGCAATCATGTCCAGTCCAGCCCAGCCCAGCCCAGCCCCATAGCTACCATGCAGAATTGATCCTCTTCAGGCTCCGTTTCTCCTGTGTCACGATGCTCTGTGGGGACCCTATGAATTTGGAAAAGCATTTTCGCAGCTGCATTTCTTTTGGCCAGCTTCTTGGACGTTCCGCTGCCTGTTAATACATTTGTAACAAAAGTATTTATGGATAAAACGTGGTGATGGTGACATACTGTTACATTTCAAACTTCTATACTTACGTAAATTGCTGCAAACATGCTTCTTAAAAACAAATGATTTCAAAATAAGAAAAACAACAACCTCACAGTGTATGGTCACCAAACCTACATAAACCATTAGTAATAAATAAATGTAACTCAATACTTTACCAACAACATTATGTAACATAGAAATGCATAGGTTTTTATTTTATTTTTTTATAACTGATACACTGAGCCTTATTTTTAACGTTTCTGTTTCCTTGGAGATTACATTCTTAACACTGCCTGGAAGGTTATACTGTAGTGCTGTTCTAATGTATATCAGACCATTTTAGAAATTTGACAACATACTTCGGTGTGCTCTCTCAGCTCTGGCACTGCTTAACATTGTAGAGCTAACCAGGTTCTTCTGCAGGACAATCCACAAGCAGGGTAAAATGTTAGAGGTGCCTGGCAGGACCTAGGTAACTTGTCAAGTCTGTTACAAGACGGTACTAATTAAGAAGAGCATGAAAATGACCCTGCTGTGGCTCTGGTCTTCTCCTAGCCGACACAACCAGACCAAGCACCCTGAAATCCGACCACCTTTTTATATAGGTGATATTCCCTGGAGCAGCCTACCAAATCAGGCTGGCCAAACCTTTAACTGGTTGTGCAGATGATTTGCATTATTTAAACTGTAGACATCTCTGGGGTTGAGCTATTTGGGGATATTTCATATATGGGGTTTACTGTAGGAGAACTGTATATTTCAGGATATTTTGTTAAGGCGCCCTGTTGTCGGAAGGTCAATTAGATTAGTGGTACTCGATCTAGTTATCTGTCAGACACAGAGGCGCCTGAGTGAGATCTACATTATTTTAGTTAACAACCCACTGCTATGGATCTGTATATAAATGTGTGCACTGTAAGACAATAAAGCATTCCTCTTTTCACCCTTTATCAAGTTTCAACTGTTGATTGGGTAGGCAGCTATATCACCAACACTCCGTGGGAAAAGGACTTTGGCAGAGATACTCAGGTCGAGTATTAGATTTCCACCACAAAGTCCTTCTGAAATGGTTTGAACAATTACTCTGAGATGGCACAAGGTCAGTCCTGGCACCAGGACCACTTTGAGTTGTAGTGGTTATGGTGCCTGGAGTGTTCCTTTAAGAGATTTGTGTGTGCAATTAAACAAACAAAATGTCCAAAACAAATTATGTAGACCTCACCTAAAGTGTCATCTCAATAATTCATGAGGGAAAGTGTAAAAACTGAATTCCAAGAGGCAAGCAAAATCTACATTCCAATACTGAACATTTCCAAAAAATGATTCATTATAACCATTACTTATCATACCAACTACCAAATCATCCATGGATGTGCTAATAAAAGTTTAATACACATAATTTGCATAATCTGTTTAATCCAGTTATTACTGTATATCTACACTACAGAAGAAATATCTCATGGGGCAAGTTATTCTATTTTACAGCGATGAATGTATAGGGCAGTCTTAATAAATTGCACAAGAGGGATATGGGAAAAATAAACTTCATAAAAGAAAAGCAATTGGTTTAATTTTGTTTGACTTTATGATTTCCTATGAAATAAAGAAATAAAATCTATTTCATCTCCCCGCAAGTAATCTAGCCAGCGCATCCATTTTTCTACATTAGAGTTCTCCAAACTCTGGACCTCCAGATGTCGCCGAACTACAACTAATAGATAGCCAGAGAATCATGGGAGTTGTAGTTCAACCCGGATGTCTATGCATCAACGTAAGGAGTCTATTGACTGCTCTACACATTTTATTCAAAAACAGGGCACCATCTCTCCATCTGAAACTTCTGATATGCTAGCACAGGCATAGGCAACCTTCGGCACTGCAGATGTTTTGGACTACACTACTGATTTGCCAGCATTATGGGTGTAAGAGCATTATGGGAGATGTAGTCCAAAACATCTGGAGTGCCAAAGGTTTTGCCTCATTCCATTTTAAACATGGATTCCTTTGAGTCTGTGTTTGCTGTATACAACAGCTTTGAAACACAACTTAGGAAAAGATGCAAAGCCAGTAAACCACTCATGGACAGCTGTTTCATTGCTATTGCAAATCATCAGCATAAGGTTGGTTACTGGTTTACTTATTGAGGCTTGGTAGTGCTTGGGAAACAAAAACCAAAAAGGTTATGGTGGGGAAAAAAATTGTAATTGAAAACCCCCTTCCACCGGAAGTCTGTGGATAGTTAATACAATGATAAACAACAATCTGCACACCAGTCAAGGCTTTGCATCTTTTCCTAAGTTGTGTTCCAAGCGGTTGTATACAGCAAACACAGACTCAAAGGAATCCATGTTTAAAATGGAATGAGACAAAAATGTGATTCTTTGGTAAACTAATTTGCATATGCCCACCCAGAATCCTTTGCGATAGTAACATCACTGCAGATTTGGGATTTCTGTGGGAAAAGAAAGTCTTATGGCTTGACTGGTGTGCAGATTTTTGTTTAACATTGTGTATATATATATATATATATATATATATATATAAATAATAGTTTTTTTTTTTAAGTCATCAACAATACCAACTTGAAATGCCTTCCAAAAACACGAAATGTTATGATTACACAAGCTTATGTTCCAATTAAAGCAACTGCTAAACAGAAGGCAAAATATAACTTGCATCTTATAAGTACCAAATGGGTAACCATGGTCACTGCTACTTTTACCTAGAAATGACAGTCATTATATCCCTTCAAACGAAGACCGTATGCATTATTGAAATAGTTCCTAGGAAAGGGAGGGGATCTTCAAACATACCTACTCCCTATACATTATGATGATGTCAGGTGGTTGACACTTGCCAGAACAATTATCTTTTGGAAACAGGCCCCCTCTACTTTGAAATATGCTCTAGACCACCTTAAAGGACCACTAAAGTCACCCAAACCCCCTACTCTCAACTAAAAGATCTGAGTGCAGCGGACAAGTCATTTTAACCCTGCAATGTACAACATTAGACTTTTGAAGAAACTGCAATATTTACATTGCAGGGTTAAATAAGACGACGACAAAACAAAACAGAGGGAAGGTGGGTCCTGGAGTGTGACAGTTGGCTGAGCATGAGTAACTCCAATCCATCACTTCCGTCACTACTAGAAGCACTGGTTTGGAGCAGATTGTGGAAGACATCAGCAGTCAGGCCAACATCTTCGAAGGCAGAAAGTGTGGCTGCAGCAGAGGCGTCTTGGCTCAGGAAACTAAGTATTAATTTGTTAAAAAAAATTTCAGAGAAAATGCAGTATTTACATTACAGCCTTGTGATAACTTCAATGGCCACTCCTCAGATGGCTGTTAGAGATACTTCCTGGGTCATGTCTGCCTAAAATGCATCCAAACATTCAGTATCTCCTCCCTCTGCATGCAGACACTGAACTTTCCTCATAGCGATTCACTGATTCAATTCATCTCTATGAGGAGATGCTGATTGGCCAGGGCTGTGCTTGAATTGTGCTGGCTCTGCCCCTGATCTTCCTCTTTGTCAGTCTTAGCCAATCCTATGGGAAAGCATTGTGATTGGATCAGGCCACCACTTCTGCAGAGGTCAGCAGACTGCTTGTTTTTCTGAGGCAAACAGCATGCAGAGTTACAGCTTCAGGCTTGAATACAATAAGATTTTGCAACATTTATGGAGGGATGAGGGGCCCAGGGGGACTAGATGGTGGTTTTAACACTATAGGGTCAGGAATACATGTTTGCGTTCCTGATCCTATCATGATCCTTTAAAACTAGCAGAACAAGATTACAAATATTCGTTCTATATTTATTTTTCCCAACAAGCCCCAATTAAAATAAAAAATAAAAAATAAAAAATTACTTTTAACATGATGAAGCAACACTTTTTCGTCTAAAATTTCCGATTGGTCTGGCTCAAAGTGCATGGGTTAAAAGAAATACTGCTTGTTGACATCAACTATGTATTTCCAATTTTTTCACAAAATTTAAGCCATTTTTCTGTAATTATGTTGCATTTTCTGCACATGTAACACTAAGAATACATTAGAAATTCTTTCTCCACGATCATACCAATTTCCAGGAACTTCTCAACACGGCACGTCATGGTGAATTCCTTCCTGTGCGCTGGACCAGACTCTTGAGTCACTGTATATTCTGGCAGCCTCCAACCCTTCTGCACCACTAGCTCCTGGGGAAAACGGATAGTACTTGAAGTATCTCTGTCACTATACGAATCACTCTGCTCCCAGCCAAGGGATCTCCTGCTTAAGCCCAGACCCCACCACCACCACCACCACCACCACGCCCCAGGACTGGTTCAACTTATTGTTTTCAAAGTTGTTCCAGTCTCGCCAGGTGTTCTTCTTGGCTCTGCCATAATAAAGATTCTAAGATGGCGGCGCCCGTAAATCTTATCTTTTGTCGTTTTCTGGACATAAAATCTGAAACTTTGCATTAACTCTTACGATAGTAAACAATGAAGGTCGATAATGTAACGCTAATGAAGGGCTGAGTCGTGGGAGGGAGGTAACTATAGAAGAAGATGGTCAATGACAAACACCCTTTGTCAACCTTCAGGTTATACATAAGAAAAAGTAGTCCTCACTAGAAAATATGCATAATTTTTTAAACAAACAAAACACAATACAGGCCCTGTAAGGGAGGGGGCATGGCATGACAGTTCTGTTTTAAGTAAACAAAGTTGGAACCAGGAACTCTTGGTGTGTAAAGCGCATGCAGCTGACAAATGATACGAAGGAAAAAACAACTCGCATGAAAACAGTTTTTGTTTTTTTTAAGATTGTCATAGAGGATATAGTGAAAGAGATCTGACCTACCTGTAATGCTCCCACTGGGTTACATTCTGACTGCTGTGCAGAGAGCGGGGGTTTTAGTTCAATTGTGTCGTTCCTAGAATGAAACCAAAGAAAATTATATATAGTTGGCTATACTCTCCTAAACATGCATAAAATATAAGGGTGTTTCTGAGGCCAATTACATAAAACAAGAGTCAGTGCACTCACTCAGTAAACATCAACTTCAAAGCTCACAAAAGAGCAAGCATCAGGTTACTAGGTTACAAAATGGGATACATTGAAGTTGTGACAGGCTTATGCAATGTATGATCATATACAACAAGTGGTTAAAACAAGTGAAAACAATGGCACTTAAAAATCTCAATTCAAGGACATATATATAACATATAGCAGCACCTCCTTTAAGCGTGAGTCCTAACCCTTATAAATATAACAGAGAAATATACAAGAAGTGCGCGGTGTCTTTAAATATTTTAAAGATCTTTTTGTTGCATATTTTCTATACTTTCATAGGCCTCTCTAATTACCTTTTTCCTCAGATTTTCTGATTAGCATCCCTGCTTGTTCTTTTTTTTTTTTTTTTTTCAATTTGACAATTTTTATTTTGTCATGGATATACGGATATGAAGTAAAAAGTTATAGGGGGTACAGAAAGGAAGAAGGGGAGGGGATATTTGCAGTGGAACATACATCCTTCAACAGTGATACTAATCAACGTTACATGGTTCTGAACACTTTACATAGTTCTGATAGATACCAGTTGCTGCCTGCCTAGTGTTGCTATGCTATCTTGTTTGTAGTCTGTGTGTGTTTTAACGCTAAGGTTGGGCTGCTCTATAGGAATATTGTCATCAGGTCGGGTGTTTTAGTTCCCAGTTTTCCCATACTTCATGCCTCCAGCTCTTATTGGGTGGGATGCGGGATAAGCTTGATTCGAATTTCCCAGTTTGGGACAAGTGCTTGATTAATTCTCGCATTGTCGCATTTGTGGGTGATAGCCAGTTTTTTGCGATAAGATTTTGGGCGGCTACTAGTATGTGTAGAATTAGGTATTTAAGTGGTTTTGGGTATTCGGCTTCCCACAGGAATAGTAACAAGGCGTTGGGGGAGTTTAGTATCATAATTGAGGTGTGTTGGTGAATGAGTGAAATGACTTCTTTCCAGTACGGCTGGAGTTTTGTACATTTCCACCAGGTGTGTAAAAAAGTGCCTGCTTCTTGTTTGCAGCGCCAGCAGGTGCTGGACATTTGTGGGTCCATAGTGGCTAGGCGTGTTGGGACCATGTACCAACGGTAAAAAAGTTTACGAGTTGTCTCTAAATGTGAAGCGCAAAACGTCAGGCCTCTGGTCGCATTTGCTACAGCCAGCCAGGTCTTCTCTGGCAGTGTTTGGTCTAGATCTTTTTCCCAGGAGCGTACACATGTGAGGGATTTTATTCCCTGTTGGGGCAGTAATAGCTTATATATGGTTGAGATGGGTTTTGCTGCTGGCGTGTCTGCCATGATGCTCTTTTCGAAGTTGGTTAGGGTGTTGGTGGTGTGTGATATGGGGTGTGGAGCCTGGGTCTTCCACCAGGATTTTAGTTGGAGGTAAGAGAAGTGTGCTACATTCGGCAGTGTATACTTGGCTTTTAAATGGTCGAATGAGGCTAATTCTCCTTTCTCTATTAGGGAGTGTACGTAAAACACCCCACATCTGTTCCATATTTTGAAGTTGAAATCAGGTATTTTATGTGTCAGGGTTTTAATTGGGGTTGATAGGGGGGTTGGGTGGCAGCTGCACAGAAGTTTGCGGGTGTCATCCCAGATTTTCAATGTTGTTAAGGTAGCAGGGAGTGCCTTTGTGATGTTTGCCCTTGAGTGGGGTAACATCCATAATGTTGTTTGTATGTCTTGCGATTGCAACCAATGTTGTTCTATGGAGACCCACTGAGGGGGGGACTTGCTTTGGTGGATGGGGAGAAGGCTGGCCAATACTGCAGCTTTGTGATAAAGTTTCACATTAGGGAGGCTCATGCCACCCATCTGCACTGGTCGGTGCAGTGTAGATAGGGCAACTCTCGGACGCTTCCCTTGCCATATGAATAGGTTAATTTGTTTTTGGAGGGATATAAAGTAGGTGGACGGTAGTGTCAGTGTGAGTGTTCTAAATAGATATTGTAGTTTGGGTAATATTACCAACTTTACCGCTGCTATTCGTCCTGACCAGGATATAAATTTATTCCGCCAGTGAAGGAGGGTGTTAGTGATCTCCTTACTGAGTTTAACATAGTTTAGATGGTATAAGTTGGATATGGTGTGCGGGAGTTTAATGCCCAGGTATGTGAGGTGGTCTTTCCTCCAATCATATGGGAACTGACTTTTCAAGTTGGACAGATAGTCGTCCTCCATACTCACCCCCATGGCCTGTGTTTTAGATAGGTTCAATTTGTAATAAGAGCAATGGCTGTATTGTTGTAGTAAATTGTGAAATGCTGGTAAAGATTTGTGTGGGTTCGTTAGGGTTAGGAGGATATCGTCAGCGAAAAGATTTAGTTTGTATTCCGACCCACCTATTTTTATTCCCGTTATCTCTGGTGATGTGCGTATGGATTCGGCTAGTGGTTCTAAAGCTAGAATGTATAGGAGTGGTGAGAGAGGACACCCCTGGCGGGTGCCGTTGGTGATGGGAAAAGGCCTCGATTGGAATCCAGACGTGAAGACCCGGGCCTCAGGGTTACTGTATAAAGATTTGATCATGGAGATAAATTGTGTAGGGAATCCAAATTTGACCAAGACCGCCTGCAGGAACGACCAGTGCAGGCGGTCGAAGGCCTTCTCAGCGTCTAAGGACAAAAGGAGACTGTTGGGGAAGCGCCTGTGCATTGTGTGTAGTAACGCGAGTGCTTTCCGTGTGCCGTCAGCTCCCTGTCTGCTTCGTACAAAGCCAACTTGGTCTGAGTGTACTATGGTCGGCAGTATAGATGTCATTCTATTGGCATAGATTTTGGCCAGGATCTTCACGTCCGAATTCAATAAGGAGATCGGTCTGAAATTCGCGCATTGGGTTGGTGATTTGCCAGGTTTGGGCAAGGTGGCCACGTTGGCTGTGAGCATATCTGGTGGTATGTTCTCTTGTGTTGTGGTAAAAGTGAAAAGTGACGTTAGCCGGGGGGCGAGTATGGAGGAGAACCTCTTGTAATATGTGTTTGGCAGTCCGTCTGGGCCTGGGGTTTTGTTTGGCGGCAGATTTTGTATAACCCTGAGCACCTCTGTTTGAGAGATGGGTTCAGCCAGGAGCTCCTGTTGGGTCGCTGAGAGTGTAGGTAGGCGGACTTTGTCTAGAAAGGTAGAGATTTCTCCCTTTGTGGGCTGGTGTACTGTAGTGTCATCTTTTAGGTTATAGAGTTTGCTGTAAAAGTCTGCGAAAAGTTCGCTGATTTGTTGTGGCTGGATTATTTTCTGTCCATCTTGGGAAGTGAGGTATGCTATTTTGGTTTGTGCCTGCACGTCTCTGAGTCGAGTGGCCAGGAGCGAGCTAGCTTTGTTACCCAAGCAGTATTCTTTGGCTTTCAGTTTTTGTAGTGTTCGGGTTGTGTTTGCTATATTAAAGTCGTTGAGGTCTGATTGTGTTTGGGCAATAGTTGCCGCATCTTTTGGGTTCGGGTGGAGAAGGTGGGACGCTGTAGCGTCTCTTAGTTTCCTTAACAGATTAAGGTATTTAGTTTGGGAGGTCCGTTTTAGAAAAGAGGCCCTTCGTATAAACAGTCCTCGCATTACGGCCTTATGGGCTCTCCATATCACTGCTGGGGACATCCCTGGTGTTTCATTCTCGGAGAAATATTGTTTGAGTGCTATATCCATGTCTGAGCTGAATTTATCGTCGTGTAAAAGGGAACAATTGAGGCGCCATGGGTTGCAACCTCTAAAAGAGAAGTTATCCCTAAATGTAGCGAGTATTGGGGCATGATCTGACCATATGATGTCACCAATGTGACATTTTTGAAGTAGGTTGAGAGATGGTCCTGCTATAAGTATTACATCTATTCTAGAGTGTGTTTTGTGGGGTTTAGAGTAATATGAGTACTCTCTATCCAGAGGGTGGAGCAATCTCCAGCAGTCGTAGAGGTTGAATTTCATCAACAATTGTGTTATGGCCTTGCAGGTCGGTTTGAGGGATTTCTGTCGGTTGGTGGAGGAGGGCATAGAGGTATCTAGGGTTGGGTCTAATACATGATTTATATCTCCGCATATAATAGTGTTGCCTCTCTGTGCAGCTGCCACTTTCAGGAGGGTACTAGTTAAGAAGTTTTTCTGATTTTCGTTAGGTGCGTAGAGGTTTACTATTGTATGTTGTACATCATTCAACAAACAGACAACAATCAGGTACCTGCCCTGATCGTCTGAAATGGAGTGTAGTAGTTCAAAGGCTACTGAGTTATGTATATATATGGAGACTCCTCTAGATTTGGACAAGTGCGTGGCGTGGAACTGATGGGGAAAATGTTTCATTCCAAATTGTGGGATTTTGGCTTTGGGAAAGTGAGTCTCTTGGAGACACAGTATGTCTGCTTTTGATTTCCGAGCTTCTTGAAGTAGCATATGCCTTTTGTGTGGCATATTGAGCCCTCTGACATTATGGGAATAAACTATCAGTGTATGGTATAAGGCAGAGCGCTATCGGTCAGGTCAGTGTCTTGAGAAGTGAGGTGTACTTTGTGCTGTTGTTCACAAACCGAGGACCCAAGGGTTCCACTTTGTACGGCACGTTTTTGTTCGGATGTTTGGGTAGGGTAGGGAGGGTGGTATCCCAACAGGGGAGTGAAACAGGGATAGTAAGAAATAAACTTAGTTAACCAAAGTATATACATGGTGGCCCGATCTCGGTGCAAGGCGCTGCTAATCAGCGCCGTGGGGAGCGTGGGATCGGAGATGGTGGGCAAGTGGTGGCCTGAGCAGGCTAACGATGTGTGGTGCCAAATGGTCTTTTAAGGAGCATCCTTAGGTCAGGTGTGGTCCTGTGTGAGCCTTAAATGAACCATATGGTATGTGAAAGGCACCTTATGTAAATATGGTGAGAAACCCTTTTGGTGCTTCATTCTAGGAAGGGGGTGGGGGTCAGAAACTCGAATGGGTTTTATACCTGGGGGGGGGCTTCCCTGCCACCCGAGCGTGTCTGCAGACTGGACCCATGAGTCGTCCACTTTATTACTATTGGTGTCCCTGGTTTAGGGGGTAGGTTGTTGGGCCTTGTCGGCCGGTAAATAGAGTGTGGCCAGGGGGTTACGTAAGTTCAGAGAGGTAGCATGTATCAGTAAGAAATAGATTCTAAGGTCATATACATTGCACTGTTGCTAGTACACCCTGCAAACAATAAGAACAAACATAAACAAACATAAAACGACATGAAGATTGATAGTTATTTGCGTATTGCAAGTTGCGTATTTCAGCCTCTAACGAGCTGGCTTTAAATGTAATGGTGGCTAGGAATTTACGTTAATTATGTGCATTATGATATTGGGTAGGTCGCCCAAGCGGGTATGTTTGCGGTAAGGTTATATCCAGCTGCGTGGGTGTAACTGCAGCCTAGACTCATGAATGAGTTGTTTGCTGTATTACGTTTGGTGTCCCTGGTTTAAGGGGTACGTTATCGGTCTTTAGCGACCATCAAATAGTGTGTGGCCCGGGGGTTACTCATGCTTCAATAAGGTGGCGATTAACAGTAACATATAAACAATTAGGCCATATACATTGCTATGTTGCTAGTACATCCTGCAAACGGTATGAACAAGTAAAGATGGCATAAAAAATATACATTTGTTTGCGTACTGCAAACTGCCGTGTAGCTAAGTGTATCAGCGACTGTCAGGCTCTGGGGGGCTGACCCTTGTGGTATTAATAGCCAGAAGCCAATGCTAATTGTGAGTCTGTTAGGAACATGGTGGCCGCCAAAGCGAGTATACTTGCGGTAAGGCCTCAGTCGGCGGTGTGCCAGTCCTTGACCACTTGTCTCGGTGGTTTTGGGGCTTGCGTGTCGCCTATGATGGTTAGGTTCCATTGATGCAGGAGGTGTATGCCTTCTTCTGCTGTTTGTACTGCGGTGGTAGTTCCATTTCTTGAAACGATCAGTCGGACAGGGAATCCCCAGCGGTATAGGATACGGTTGGCGCGTAGGGTTTCTGTCACCTGTTGGAAGGTTTTCCGTTGTTTCAGGGTGGCTGCTGAAAGGTCTGAAAACATTTTGATGCTTGTGTATTCGGCCGGTAGATCTTTCACGGTTCTGCTTCTTCTCATCAGGAGATCTTTAACATGAAAGTAGTGAGCTTTCACTAACACGTCCCTAGGTAATGATGTGGCAATATGTTGAGGTTTAGGCACCCTATGCAGACGGTCTAGCAGCAACATGTCTGTGGGTATTTCTGGTGTCAGGAGCTTGAAGAAGCTGTGCACATAACTGGGTAGGTCTGCCGGGAGGACCGTCTCTGGGATACCTCTCAGCCTGATATTGCTCCTTCTAGAGCGATCTTCTAGATCCATGAGTTTTGCTTCACATTTCTGGATCTGGTCTGTGAGGGATTTTAGGTGCTCTGTGGACGCGTTGTGCGCGTCGACTAAGTCCTCCATCTTTGCTTCCACGTGTGTTGTGCGAGACCCGATATCTTGGAGGTCCCGTTTCAGTTCTGCCACGCTGGATTGCCAGGTAGCAACCAGCCTTCGTGATTGTTCGTCCAGGGCTCTCTTTAGGAAGGCAGCTGTGAGCGGTTCTCCGTCATGCAGTGAATCCGCCTCTGATCTTGGGCTGCTCCCCCCGGAGTGGTCGGCGCCATCTTGATGGCCTGCTGTGTCTGCTTGCTTTGCCAGAGCTGCCCCTTTCTTCTGAGCGAAAAAGCTCATCTTGTCGGGCTTATCTTGGTTCCGGCGGGTTTTGGGCTGCGACATCTTTGGGATATAAGTTGTTTTCTTGCAGGGTTCTCACTTAGGAAAGCTTTTGCCTTGCTCGTGGTGCGGAGCTAAGAGCTCATGCGGCCATCTCTCTCCGTGCCTAGACACGCCCCCTGCTTGTTCTTTAAAGATGTCTACTTCTGTACAGTTTCTCTTTATTCTCTGGAACTGCCCCTTCATTATGTTATTAAGCCAGGGATTATAGTGTCCGCTATTATTCAATGTAAATGGACGCTTCGATACTTCTAAGACTTTTTCTTCGATATGAATTTTTTGGACACACCCACTAAAGATGGCCCTATAAAAGGAGATTCAGGCAATGGGATGGCAATCTGAGGAAGCCATCGTCACTGCGAAACGCGTCATCGCGCCTACCCACGTCATCACACACGCCAGCGAAGGAAACCCCGCCCCATGGAAGCATTGAGGTACACTTGTGATCTCGCTCCTGGAACTTTGGCTAGACCCCGAGATTCATTAGAGACTCTGCCCCGGTGAGGAAACAAAGAAGAGGGTCCTTTCTGTTGGCTGCTGTGGTTTTAAAGTTTATGTGCAATAAAGTTGTGGTTTTTACCTGCACCAGCTTGGGAGTTTTTGCCTGCATCTCCATTGGGATTATTGCTTGGAGCTATTATAGTCAGAGCAGACTCATCTCCCCTCCGTTTGTGAGTGCATATTTTTCATCTTACATTTATACTACTGTTCATCCAGTTTTACAATATATTTTCTCTCCCCTCTTTGTTTCCCGTTTTTCTATACATGCATAAGAATATCGTTTTTCTACTAAAGAGTGGTCAGATGTTTGTATTCCCCATATTGTGGTAAAAGTATTTTCTTCTTTTTTGCACTTTTGTACACCTTATTTGTGCACAGTGCACCTTCACTTGAATGATATTATAATAATGGTGTATGGAACATAACTGTTTGTATTGCAAGTGTTACACCATTTTTTTGCATGAAATTTAAATTGCATTTGCACGTTCGAATATTTAAAGACACAGCGCACTTCTTGTATAGTTCTCTGTATGATCATATACGGCAACTAAATCGTCATATGAGATGTTGTTTAAAAAAAAACCAAAAAAAAAAAAAATACATTTTTGTGAAAAAAAGTCCACAAAAGACTGAAACCTCGTACCACTTCTTCACAATAAAGAAAATAATGAATGCACAAAAAAAAGTCTTCAGAGTGCACTTTTTTGAAATTGTTATTCTCCAGGCACAAAGTAGCACCGGGGCAGGAGCAAGGCGGGAGTGTCAAGCCCATACTGGAGGGCTAATTATATGTAAAAAAAAAAAAAAAAACAACCATAACACTTTACAAATAGCCTAGTTCTATAACAATAGACATACCTTTATGCATTACTTTATCCCTAAAATGTATTTTCCAGTAGTGAATTTATAAATTTCTTTGAAGAATACATTTAATTCTAATTTTGGCTTACTTTTAAAATTATAAGATCAAAAAAAAGTCAAATCACTACAATAAAGTTAGATACTTAGATTTTTCTTTCTGGTAGCAGCTTATTTTTCTACACTAGCAATATTACTTACTAAATTGAGAATTGTTGGTAATTTAAAGTGAATTTCAAATTTAAGGTCAATATATGTGAACTGAAAAAACTCTAAAAGTCAGCATTTAGTCTTAAATTTGACATCCAATTTAGTTCCGGACAATTCTTACTTTAGTGTATAATCCTGTGAAGGTAAGCAAAACTGTTGTACATGCTTTAAAGATAGCTGCAAAAGAGCCACTAAAAGCAATAGTTATAATTAATACCATAGAGTAATATCTATAGCATATTATAGTGAATATAATTATTATATATGAGGAATTGGTTGAACACACAATATAAAAATATGTAAGGGAAGGGAGAAGCATATCAAAATCATACTACTCTCAACTAGGCAGAATGATTAATTGAAAGGACACTAAATCTACCCAGACAACTTCATCTTAAAACAGAAAATTAATAAAGTATCTACCTGTTTGATAAAGGTGAGGGACATACATCTGTTATTTCATTCTTCACCGAAGGGGATTCAGGAGAGAACATTGCACTTTAAAAAAAAACAACACAAAAACAATTTGTCTCAAACACAATTGAATATAATACTATATATATATATATTAAAAAAAAAGGACATACACACCAGGCACCTAAGAGCACAGACATAGATAGATAGACAGACAATACACCCACTTATATACAGCTTAAAACTTGTGGTCTTTTTCTGCTGGCCAGGACTTAAATTACACGCCATTGCAAGCCACAGCATACACTCCGGGGTGAATTTCTACACACCAAGGTTATACAAAACTCAAATTTCATAATTTTCTTAAATCTGAATGTAAACACAAACTAAAATCTACCGCGGTCGCAGCTGTAACCGAGCCCGACACTCCAGGGGGCCTGGCCGCCCTGTGATCATGGTGCCTGCCTGCTATGTAATACCACCAGGGCCACATGCTGTTAGGGCCACCCGATGGCAATTCATTTCCAGGGGGCCCTGTCAGCGATGCGGAGCTTTAACAGCGCTGCCGGGCCCCCTTTGATGATGTCAAACGCAGTGAGGAAGAGACTGCCTTCAGCAACCACGGGAGCTGCGCGGGAGGAGGAAGGAGAAGAGGGAGTCAGGCTGAGCCACTGAACCCATGGAAAGACCCGCTCCTGCACCGAAAAGGCAGGAAATAAGAGGGTGACTAAAACAGTGTGTGTGTGTCTCTCTCTGTATATGTGCCTGCATGCGAGGGGGGTAGACATATGGGTGGGACCCAGGGAAATTTTCACACTGAGGCCCTGTGGTTTCTAGTTACACCTCTGCTTAGGATAGAACATATTACGGATTTAAAGGTCCAAACATTTTGAACATCTAGCTCTATACAATATGGATTGAAAGGGGAATCCTTTTCTAATATTTGTTTAATATTTTCCATAGTTATACATATTGGCACAATTTTCTTGAATGGATTGTTTCCAGATGTTTTCTTCTATTGATTGATTATAGACCATTAGGGGGTCTTTTCATGTGGTCAGTTCCTCCCAGATACTATATATAGATATAATTATACGGTCAGCTAGGGATCTTTCTCCAGATTTATCTCTTAGCATTTATTTAAGTACTGTTTAATTTATTTATTTGTTGTTAGATTCTTTTATTAACCTTGATTTAAGGTTTATATTTGCATTTACAATATAAGTCTATAATATATATTAACACTACACCAGGGGGATTCTCGTTTCCCCTAGCCTTAGGATAAATTATCTATAGCTGAGTATCACTCATTCACGTCCTTATTTGCACTTTGCCACTCAGGTTGACACTTTCAATGACTTGTGGATACTAGTAATTGCCTCATGGGGATAGTTATAACATAACGGATTAATCCTTCCATCTTGCTAGTCCTTTCTCACTAGGACTGCTCACTTCTTTATCACAGTAACCGGCATTGAACGGTAACACACGTTGTCAAGGCAACCATTCAATAATCCGCCGGACGTCCTGACTTATTGACGTCGGGGAGGCGGTCCTAATTCACTTCCGGGTTTCGGTGAGGGGGACACAACGCTAAAGTTTGGTAAGTGCACTTACACTTTATCTATATAAACTTACTAATTTGTTAGTTATAATAACCTTGAAAAAGACCTGCAGAGGTCGAAACGTTGGTTTTTCTTTTGCACATGATTTAAAATAAAACGGAAATTTTTTTGCACAAGTCCTGAGAATGCATCTTGGATTATTCTTCATTTATATATGGAACGCACACCTGTTTGCACCCAGGCGGTTATAAAGGATTTCAAGTAAGGAGAGTGCCAAGCTACTTATATATATATATATATATATATATATATATAAAATTTTAAAATACAGCTAGAACGAAATTACACATATATTTTTATTTATTTTTTTAACGTATTTACATATTTAGTTTATTATATATAAATATATGATAATTATATATTTAATCAATATCATTGTACGTGTACTTTGATATTAATATATATATAATTATATATCTATTAAAATACACTTAGAAAGTGTATGTGTGTGTGTATATATATATATATAAATATATAAAATCAAACAGGAGCACTCCATTGAATTTTCAAAGAAGGTATTTTAATCCGGTGTTAATAACTCACATCAACGTTTCGACCCGATAGGGTCTTTATCAAGATCTTGTCGGGTCGAAACGTTGATGTGAGTTATTAACACCGGATTAAAATACCTTCTTTGAAAATCCAATGGAGTGCTCCTGATTGATTTTATGTACCTACTGGCTGGGAAGCACCCGGGTAATATTACTCTTTTATATATGTCTTTAAAGGAAGAGTGCCAGAGTCTGTCCTTATATATATATATATATATATATATATATATACACATACACACACACACACACACACACTAAGATCATATATTTAATAAATATATATATGATCTAAGTATATTTTATTTAATTTTACACTGTTTTAAACGGTTTTATTTTATTTTTTTTCAGGCAGCAGGGGGAGTACCTATCATTACAGGCACTCCCCCTGCTGGCATTGCTGTGGACAGCTATGCCGTCCATGTGATTGCGAGGTCCTTGAATCACATGGCCCAGGAGGGCCGAAGAGGAAGGAGGGGGACTCCTTGAGCTCCCATGTGAATCCCCACACCACGATCACCGGCGACCGGGTAAGTACATAGGACGGCAGGGAATTGCTATGGTGTGCCCCAGCTTTTAGAGCTAGGTCACTAAGGACGGCATAGCACGCCTTAAGGGGTTAAAGAGATACTAAAGTCACCAGAACAACTATAGCTTAGCCAATCCAATGCTTACTATGGGAAAGCATTGGATTGGCTAAAAATCGTCAATTCTAATGATGTCGCCAAGGGGGCGGGGTCAGTGCCGGCAGACCTGCGCAGCGCTGGAAATAGGGTGAGTTTTAATTGTTTTTAAGGAGGCTAAGTGGGGGGCAAGCCACCTAAATGGTCATTGATTTCAACTTGAAGGTATCTGTGAGGTTTGTTTCTTATAATGTGCCCATGAGGTTTAATGCTTTCCTGCGATATTTTCCTAAAGACTATAAACTGCACAGTCATCTAATAGCAAAAGAAAACCCATTTAGACAAGTAGGAAGGAAGTAGCCCTTCTTTACGAAGTTCTCCCAGAAAGAAAGAAGGATCAATACAGTGTGGACTCCTCACGTGTTTTCCTCACTGGCGTCTCCCAACATGTGTTCTCCTCTGAGAAGAGTCATGGCTTCTTCTGCTGCTTTGTGTTTTGCTGACTTTTTGCTGGGTCCTTGTCCTGAAAACGACACAAAGCAGTTTTTTTATTTTTTTATTAACACTTTGCTAAAAAATGTTGAATAAGAGCAGTGCACAATTAAAGTCAGGCAGGTTAATTAAAGTCAGCTATGCTTAGATTAAGAAATCTTAAAGCTACAGGATTCCGTGGAAATTCCACAGGTTTTATGTTGCTTTTACAAAAGTTCAAGCCGTTCCAGTAAAGGAGAATCTAAATGCCCTCATTTTTTTTTTTTTTTTTTTTTTAACAGCAGTCTATATTTTAAACAAACAAAAAACAAAAAACAGTTATTCATACCAATCTAGCTGATAGATTGTGAACCAGAATCTGAGATGTAAAAGGGAACTTGGTATATAAATTAAGTTATCACATAAGCTATAGACATAAAATAGTCAAATGTGAAGGCTAAAGCAGCAATGTCTCTAAAATGTTCTATATATCAATTATTTTTGTTGTAACAATTGAGGCATTATTACCACTTCTTGGGATTGAATCACAATGTTCAATCTCTCAACAAATTACTGATACAGTTTGCAGGGAGACTATGTGATGCTAGTCGCCAATCATCATTAGCAGTAACTTCCTGTTTCCCACTGTAAATAAAAATGTTTTTGTTTTTTGAAAATGATGTGTTCAGAAAAATCGGGTTACAAAGCTTGTATTTACTTTATGAAAAAATGCTTTTAAAAAAATAAATAAGACATATTGTGTTGATTATGTTTAATGTATCTAGTGATGTTATAAAAAAATGATAGCACGTAGGTATGGTTTTATTCAAGTGGATTAGCAGTACTGTGCCAATTCACAGTTGTAGGAAAAACACACAAAAAAACCCAAAAAAACGACCAACCACAGCAAGCAGCTATAACAGCCAATTTAGCTATAGTAATGCTACACATAGATGGATGCCAGAGTATTTTTAGAGTGAAGTATTTTGTGTCAGAACCATAGTATGGTCAACACTCATTTGAAAACAAAGGTCTGGCACAGTGACAGCATCTCAAGCAACTTAGCAAGTTAAAATGTACATAAATGGACACATCATCTATAGTCATATTTTTAGAAAAGAGGCTGAGTTAATGGCTGCAGCCCTGGTGTGTAGCTCCCACTAAGCTCAGGCATAATAGGTCACTAATGTCCTGGTGTTGCCCTAGGATAGCAAAGAGCGGTAAAGCTAGCAATGAAGTATACAGCATACATTGATGTGTGTAATTAAAACGGTCTGAGGACATTCATAAATCACTTAAGCTTTAGTCTTGTGGTTTCTTATGACGTCTCCAGTATAAACATACACGCTATACCAGAGAAACTAAATAGTATTTCTCCTAAACAATCTCCAAATAGGAAAACAGGGGACAAATAATACTGTTATAGAGGGAGCAGCACTTAATTAAATGTACCTGACCAATCATGTGGTATAAAAGATTATCCTCCTCCCCATGATTACAATATTGAGGTAACATATCTAGAGAGATTTGAAAAGTAGCTTATTTTCTTAAATGGTTGCAAAGCATCGTGTTAACAAAACAAATATCAACTGTTCAGTAAATGCTGTAAAATTGGAGTCACTGGATGGAAAATCCCTCCAAGACAGAATGGACAACATATAGACAGCACAGTGGATCCATGATACGGGCATTTCACCTCGAAGACTGGATGACCCAGGGGACTGACCAGTGCAGTTGATGTCTCCAACAGATACGCGAAATGTGAAGTTGGGTTGGTGTGCTTGTCCTTCAGCTTTCAGTAAGTCATATACAGGGGTCTTTCCTATCCGAGTCCCATACTCCTGCAGTAAGCTGATTGGGGTCTTCCCAGGGCTCAAAGCAAGCATCTGCTCTAAACTATAAAAAAAAAAACAAAAAAAACAATATACATTGTAGGATGAATGCAAAATTCTGCTCTTTCAATAAAAGGTCAGCTATAAAATATCCGTTTTAAGCCATGCAAAACGGTCACTGTGCATGCATGTTTTAAGAGAACATAGTTCTTATTTGGGAAAAGCGCAATCAGGTCTCAAAAAAATAAACATGTTCTGTGGCTTTAGTTTACACATCTCTATAAGGGTTATTCGCTAAAGTTTTGTAATTCAAAGTGAAGCTTCAAATTTTTGTCCAAAAAGTTTTAAAAAAATGCTCCAAGGCAGCACATTGCTGAATTTAGCTTTTTTTCGATCAGCTTCTTATTCAAATGCGAAAGTTAGCTTACTATTCACCTAGTTTCTTATTTGGATTGGCTTCCTGTTCATCCAACTTATTTTTGATGAAACTGATTATTTACTAAACAACAATCTTCCAAAATTTAAATCAGGCTTGAGCCAAAATGAAATCCTAACATCCATACATTTCAAAGAAAAATTCTCAATAAGTAACCAAGGTCTTCACCTATGAAAACCAGTCTTGGCTTGTCCATATCTGGTTTATTTTCTACTAACTGTGCATCCCTCTGACATTAGCTTTATTTAATGGCATTAATTTTCATTAGTGGGGTACCCAATTAGCAGAAAACAACCCAAATGTGGGTGAAGCAAAGATGGTTTTTATAGCGGTTACTTATTCAGAATATCGAATGAAATGCATGAAGGTTAGGGTGACGGGTTCAGTGCTATATTTTGCAATATAATTTGACTAAGGCATGATTTAACTTTTCCCATAGCGGAATGCCAAATTAGTAAAAAAAAATAATAAATTTTTGACTGTGTCAAGATGGTTTTCATAGAGCTTGGTTAGTTTTTCAAAATATCCCAGTGTATGGGTGCTAGTATCGAAAATCTATATCATAAGGCTCAAGTTGAATTTAACTTTTTGGCAAAATCCAAAACCATTTTCATCAGTATTGCACGGATTAGACCTTACCAACAGGAAAATACTGAATCAATGCTTTCCTATGGGGATTTTGAAGAAGCTGAACAACCTCATACAAAGTGTGAGCACGTTCAATGTCATTTCATGGAGCTAAAGGGAAACTGTAATGAATTACCCGCTACGGGACGGGGGAGAGGAGAACGCTACGGAACGGGGGAGAGGAGAACGCTACGGGACGGGGGAGAGGAGAACGCTACGGGACGGGGGAGAGGAGAACGCTACGGGACGGGGGAGAGGAGAACGTTACGGGACGGGGGAGAGGAGAAGACGGAGAGAGAACGCTACGGACGGGGAGAGGAGAACGTTACGGGACGGGGGAGAGGAGAACGCTACAGGAAGGGGGGGGGGGTGAGAAGAACACTAAGAAAGAGGGAGGTGAGAGGAAGATTAGGGAGGGGCACTAAGGTAAAGGGAAGGGAAAAGTAACACTGGGGTAGGGGGTACCACTAAAAGAGAAGGGAAGTTTTTCATATTAGATTCATTAAATTCATTAAAAAGTCTAATGTTAATAAAATTATATAAAAAAAAACTATTTTAAAATCATTTGGGGGAAAAGTAATTTTCAGTTTTCGGCCAAGGGCAACGTGAATTTTCTCATTCTGCCTAGAATTTTCATTTCAGTGCATCCCTAACTGCAACCTTTGTTGATTTGCACTGCTCTGAGTGGAGCATAGAGTAACGGTCTGTGGGTGGTATCTTCTGCACTCCCTGGCTTTCACTTCCTCAGCATTTAGTTTATACCGAGGAGTCTGCTGGGAGAAAAACCCATTGTTTAATAGGTTTTTCTCCAAATCTATAAATTTGCTAGAAAAAAAACAGCAAGTGCAATGTAGAAATTGAATTTTATGCTCAGCTAAAATTAGTTTTACGATGACCGGCTCCCTTTAAACTCTGTAAAAGGCAGGAAGTGCCTCCAGTGGCTGTCTGGAAGACAGACACTAGGGATTATCTTAAAGGGACACTATAGGCAAACAGACTGCTTAATTTAATTGAAGTGGTCTGAGTGCAGTGTACCTGTCCCCTTAATCCTAAAATGTAAAACATTGCAGTTTTCAGAGAAACTGCAATGTTTACATTGCAGGGTTAAGATTGCCTCAAGTTGCTGACTCTCACTAGAGGCGCTTCTTCAATTTAGAGTGCCTCCTTGAAACAATAATAAACGTCAAGTCAAAAGATATACTGAGACAAAGAAGGGACTACTTTGTCTAAATATTTTTTCCACGCTTGACACTGTATGGAGCTACCGCCATGCAGAAGTGGCAATCTCCCAGCAGTCACCAGTGTCAGCTGCAGAGAAAACTGTGATTATGGGCAATTCAGAGTTCTCGTGGGATCCTCTATGGAACTCACATGTGCAACAGTACAGCTGTGATGCCGGCTCTTGGCTCTTCAGAAGAGGACTGACCGGAAGATTGCACAACCAACCCCACCCGGAAGGTCCCCACATGATGACTGTCGCATTAAGCTTAAATTAACACAGTTTGGAAGATACTAAATTACTTTAATGTTGGTCTCTGGATAATCCAGATTTATTTTGTACAATCTGGCTAATGTAAATTCAAATTTTACTGAATAGCACCCTGCTTCAGGGATAAGCATATTTCTACAAGGAAGTGTGAATATGCAAAAACCGTAAACTTCAAGGGCGGGGAATAGCCTCTCTTTTACCACTAGCTTAAAAGGGACACTCCACTGCCCAAAAACATTATATATATCCCCAGTGAAAACATGCATACAATTAATTTTACATTATATATTTGGTCTGGTAAATATCATTCCCTTCAGGTTTTTTACAGTAAATAGTTTTTTCAGAGAAAATGCAGTATTTACATCACAGCCTCCTAAGGATACCTCCACTGGCCACTCCTCAGATGGCTACTAGAGGTGCTTCCTTCCCTGATCTGCCTACTTGACAGTCTCAGCCAATCCTATGGGAAAGCATTGTGATTGGCTCAGAGAATCACTGCTGATGTCAGCCAAGCAGGCAGGTCAGAGGCAGAGCCAGCAGCAGTAGACTTGACTAAAAGTAAGATTTCACTATATTTCTGGGATAAGGTGGTATAGGGTGAGTGCCCACTCCAGGCTCGGGGATACGGTGGTATAGGGTGAGTGCACACTCCAGGCTCTGGGCTAAGGTGGTATAAGGTGAGTGCACACTCTAGACTCTGGGATAAGGTGGTATAAGGTGAGTGCACACTCCACGTTCTGGGATAAGGTGTTATAGGGTGAGTGCACATTCCAGGCTCTGGGATAAGGTGTTATAGGGTGAGTGCACACTCCAGGCTCTGGGATAAGGTGCTATAGGGTGAGTGCACACTCCAGGCTCTGGGATAAGGTGCTATAGGGTGAGTGCACACTCCAGGCTCTGGGATAAGGTGGTATAAGGTGAGTGCACACTCCAGGCTCTGGTATAAGGTGAGTGCACACTCCAAGCTCTGGGATAAGGTGCTATAGGTGAGTGCACACTCCAGGCTCTGGGATAAGGTGGTATAAGGTGAGTGCACACTCCAGGCTCTGGGATAAGGTGGTATAAGGTGAGTGCACACTCCAGGCTCTGGGATAAGGTGGTATAGGGTGAGTGCACACTCCAGGCTCTGGGATAAGGTCTGGTGAGTGCACACTCCAGGTGGTATAAGGTGAGTGCACACTCCAGGCTCTGGGATAAGGTGCTATAGGGTGAGTGCACACTCCAGGCTCTGGGATAAGGTGCTATAGGGTGAGTGCACACTCCAGGCTCTGGGATAAGGTGCTATAGGGTGAGTGCACACTCCAGGCTCTGGGATAAGGTGCTATAGGGTGAGTGCACACTCCAGGCTCTGGGATAAGGTGCTATAGGGTGAGTGCACACTCCAGGCTCTGGGATAAGGTGCTATAGGGTGAGTGCACACTCCAGGCTCTGGGATAAGGTGCTATAGGGTGAGTGCACACTCCAGGCTCTGGGATAAGGTGGTATAAGGTGAGTGCACACTCCAGGCTCTGGGATAAGGTGCTATAGGGTGAGTGCACACTCCAGGCTCTGGGATAAGGTGCTATAGGGTGAGTGCACACTCCAGGCTCTGGGATAAGGTGCTATAGGGTGAGTGCACACTCCAGGCTCTGGGATAAGGTGCTATAGGGTGAGTGCACACTCCAGGCTCTGGGATAAGGTGCTATAGGGTGAGTGCACACTCCAGGCTCTGGGATAAGGTGCTATAGGGTGAGTGCACACTCCAGGCTCTGGGATAAGGTGTTATAGGGTGAGTGCACACTCCAGGCTCTGGGATAAGGTGCTATAGGGTGAGTGCACACTCCAGGCTCTGGGATAAGGTGCTATAGGGTGAGTGCACACTCCAGGCTCTGGGATAAGGTGCTATAGGGTGAGTGCACACTCCAGGCTCTGGGATAAGGTGCTATAGGGTGAGTGCACACTCCAGGCTCTGGGATAAGGTGCTATAGGGTGAGTGCACACTCCAGGCTCTGGGATAAGGTGTTATAGGGTGAGTGCACACTCCAGGCTCTGGGATAAGGTGTTATAGGGTGAGTGCACACTCCAGGCTCTGGGATAAGGTGTTATAGGGTGAGTGTAGGCCCTGTGCATGCTGTCAATCCCCGTTCAGCAAGCTGCACACCCGGCTTTCTATAACCTCCAGGCATGCGGGTCACATTACCTGGGACACCCGGAGCTCGTCTGGTTCCCACACTCCTCGTTCTCACTCATTCCCTCCCGGTCTACGCTCTCCAGTAACAATGACCGGGGCGGGAAGCATGGCTCACAGAGCTAAACCATCACCGCAGCGGGCACGCAGGGAATTGTAGTCTTAAAAGCCGAGCCTTCTTAGGGCCGCTTGCTCTCCGCTGACTACATTTCCCGTGCAGCCGTTCGCGCACTACGACGGCCAATCAGATCTCAGCTCCCAGGCAGACAAAAAGCCTCGGGAGACAGTGGGCGTGGCTGCACGCTGGACGCCTGTTATAAACCCAGCCCATTATTCAACGCGGCGCTGCAGGTCTGTTCTGATTGGCTGCAGCCAACCCGCCCTCCTTTTACTGTACAGTTCTAATTGGCTGTAACGGTCTTCAAGGGCGGATGTTGCTAATAATGACCCCGCCCCCAAGTCCTGTAACTGGACGCAATGGACTAGCTCCTCTGCTGATTGCCAGCTGTCCGGCAGGGGGCGGGGCTCTGAGGCAGCTGCTGGCATGGAAGGGTTCCTACACAAGTGGACGAATTACCTGTCAGGTTGGTACCTTACCCACCACTGAGGGCATGGCAGGAGCCCAGCCTGGACTGACAGTGTGCTCAGCACCATAACCAGCCAGTTACTGGGAGAGTGCAGGCTGTGTGCTGGGTCTATGGTGGTAGGTGGGTGTGCTGTATGTAGGTAAGTTAGCAATGCATACAGTGACCCAGGGCAGGCTGTTTGTTAGGGCTATGGGGATAGGTGGGTGTGCTGTATGTAGGTAAGTTAGCAATGCATACAGTGACCCAGTGCAGGCTGTGTGCTGGGTCTGTGGTGGTAGGTGGGTGTGCTGTATGTAGGTAAGTTAGCAATGCATACAGTGACCCAGGGCAGGCTGTGTGTTAGGGCTATGGGGATAGGTGGGTGTGCTGTATGTAGGTAAGTTAGCAATGCATACAGTGACCCAGGGCAGGCTGTGTGCTGGGTCTGTGGTGGTAGGTGGGTGTGCTGTATGTAGGTAAGTTAGCAATGCATACAGTGACCCAGGGCAAGCTGTGTGCTAGGTCTATGGGGGTAGGTGGGTGTGCTGTATGTAGGTAAGTTAGCAATGCATACAATGACCCAGTGCAGGCTGTGTGCTGGGTCTGTGGGGGTAGGTGGGTGTGCTGTATGTAGGTAAGTTAGCAATGCATACAGTGACCCAGGGCAGGCTGTGTGCTAGGTCTATGGGGGTAGGTGGGTGTGCTGTATGTAGGTAAGTTAGCAATGCATACAGTGACCCAGGGCAGGCTGTTTGTTAGGGCTATGGGGGTAGGTGGGTGTGCTGTATGTAGGTAAGTTAGCAATGCATACAGTGACCCAGGGCAGGCTGTGTGCTGGGTCTGTGGTGGTAGGTGGGTGTGCTGTATGTAGGTAAGTTAGCAATGCATACAGTGACCCAGGGCAGGCTGTGTGCTAGGTCTATGGGGGTAGGTGGGTGTGCTGTATGTAGGTAAGTTAGCAATGCATACAATGACCCAGGGCAAGCTGTGTGCTAGGTCTATGGGGGTAGGTGGGTGTGCTGTATGTAGGTAAGTTAGCAATGCATACAATGACCCAGTGCAGGCTGTGTGCTGGGTCTGTGGGGGTAGGTGGGTGTGCTGTATGTAGGTAAGTTAGCAATGCATACAGTGACCCAGGGCAGGCTGTGTGCTAGGTCTATGGGGGTAGGTGGGTGTGCTGAATGTAGGTAAGTTAGCAATGCATACACTAACCCAGGGCAGGCTGTGTGCTGGGTCTGTGGTGGTAGGTGGGTGTGCTGTATGTAGGTAAGTTAGCAATGCATACAATGACCCAGGGCAGGCTGTGTGCTAGGTCTATGGGGCTAGGTGGGTGTGCTGTATGTAGGTAAGTTAGCAATGCATACAATGACCCAGGGCAGGCTGTGTGCTCGGTCTATGGGGGTAGGTGGGTGTGCTGTATGTAGGTAAGTTAGCAATGCATACAATGACCCAGGGCAGGCTGTGTGCTGGGTCTGTGGGGGTAGGTGGGTGTGCTGTATGTAGGTAAGTTAGCAATGCATACAGTGACCCAGGGCAGGCTGTGTGCTGTATGTAGGTAAGTTAGCAATGCATACAGTGACCCAGGGCAGGCTGTGTGCTGTATGTAGGTAAGTTAGCAATGCATACAGTGACCCAGGGCAGGCTGTGTGCTAGGTCTATGGGGGTCAGGGCCGGCGCGTCCATAAGGCGGCACAGGCGGCCGCCTTAGGGCGCACCGGCCCGGGGGCGCAAATGTCCGGGTGACCGGCAGGAGGGAAGCGCACAGCTCCCCTCTCCTGCCGGTCACTTCTTGTAGCGTGGCCGAGCGCCACCCTGCAGTGCCGCGGACTGTGTGGAGGGGGCGGGGATATGAACGTCATATCCCTGCTCCCTCTGTAGCACACAGCGCGGCTGGTGCCCAGCAGGGGCGGAGCTACGGGCCCCCTTCTAATCAGCATGGGAGGAAGTCCTCCCAACAAGACTAGGGCAGCAGAAGGCAGAGAGGAGGGGGCTGGGCAGGACCAGCTCCTCCAACTCCCAACTACCTCAGGCAGCACTTTGGATCCCAGGTAAGCCCCCCTCCTGAACCTGTTGGTCAGTGTGTCTGTGTGTATCCATGTCTGTCAGTGTGTGTGTGTATCCATGTCTGTCAGTGTTTGTGTATGTATATGTCTCTGTCCGTGTGTTTGTGTGTATCTAAATGTCTGTCAGTGTGTGTGTATGTCTGTCTGTTAGTGTGTCTTTGTGTATGTCTATCATTGTGTATGTGTGTATCTGTATGTTTGTCAGTGTGTTTGTATATGTCTGTCAGTGTGTGTGTATCTATGTCTGTCAGTGTGTGTGTATGTATATGTCTCTGTCCGTGTGTGTGTATGTATATGTCTCTGTCCGTGTGTTTGTGTGTATCTAAATGTCTGTCAGTGTGTGTGTATGTCTGTCTGTTAGTGTGTGTTTGTGTATGTCTATCATTGTGTATGTGTGTATCTATGTTTGTCAGTGTGTTTGTATATGTCTGTCAGTGTGTGTGTATCTATGTCTGTCAGTGTGTGTGTGTATATAAATGTCTCTGTCCGTGTGTCTGTGTGTATCTAAATGTATGTCAGTGTGTGTATGTCTGTGTGTCTTTGTGTGTTTGTGTATGTCTATCATTGTGTATGTGTGTATCTGTATGTCTGTCAGCGTGTCTGTATGTCAGTGTATGTTTATCTGTATATCTGTCAGTGTTTGTGTGTATCTGTATATGTGTGTCTGTGTATCTGAATGTGTATCAGTTTGTGTATATGTATATCTGCATGTGCGTCAGTGTGTGTATCTTTGTGTATGTGTATCACAGTGTGTGGGTGTGTGGCAGTGTATGTGTATATGTGCATATATCTCAGCATTCAAACACCAATACTACACACAAATAAACACCTGCATGCAAACAACAACACTACATACAAACACACACCTGCATTCAAATGTCAACACTACATACAAACACACCTCTGTATCAGACACCAAAATTATATATAAACACACACCTACGTTCAAAAACCAACACTACACATAAATGCATGCTTGCATTCAAATGCAAACACTACATACAAACACACCGCTAGAATCATACAAACATACTCCATACAAACACATGCTTACAGTCAAACACACAAATACTGCTCCATGCTAAATACAATCCTGCAAGCATGGGGAATCGGTAGAGCCCCAGCTTTCAAAGCATTGTTGAAGTTGCACGACAGATGGGGATCTATCTTTTAGCCATCCTATGTACATACACAGACCGTCATACAGAGACATACAGTAGACATACAGTATGTATGTCTCTGTATGACTGTGTGTATGTATTCAAAAGGAATAAACGCAGGCAACACTCCAATAGTACGGATGGTATATTTATTGATAGGTGAACCACCCCAAAGAAAGTGCGTCGTTTCGGCTCAGCAGAGCCTTATTGCATGAGCTGAAACATCACACTTTCTATGGGGTGGTTCACCTACCAATAAATATACCATCCTTACTATTGGAGTGTTGCCTGCGTTTATTCCTATTGAAGACTTTACTGGTGGATCCAGCGATGACCACTGTTGATGGCCGGAGCATTTACACGGTATCTGTGTATGTATGTCTCTGTATGCCTATCTCTATGTTTCTTTATGTCTGTCTGTATTTCTGTGAGGGCCTGTGTCTGTATGAATGTATGTCTGTGTTTGTATGACAATGTACCTGTATGTGTAGATTGTATGACTGTGTTTGTTTGTGTGCCTGTTATGACTGTGTGTCTGTATATCTTTGTGACTGTGTGCCTGAAAAATTATGTCTATGTGCTTGTATGGTTGTGTGTCTGTATGTTTGTGTATTTGTGCATGTATGTATTTTTGCCTGTATCTATGTCTATGTGGAAGAAAAAGAGAGATAGATAGGGGCTGGCGGGGAAGTAAGAAATACATAAGAGGTGTTGTAGGAGACACACTAAAGGGGGGTGTAAGGCACAAAGGGGCCAAAAGGATAAGACATTCAAGAGAGTGGATATGCAACACTAATGGGGGTAAGAAATTCAAAAGGGGGCTACGAGACACAGAGGTGAAGATGCATTGTATTTTTTTTTTTTTGGGGGTGGGGGGGGGCGTCAAAATGCATCTTCGCCTGTGTAGTCAAAAATCCTAGCACCGGCCCT